GGATTCCACTCTGAAAACTTTACATGCAGCAAATTCTGCATATCGCACATGTATCAGTATGTGCTTTCTTTGTGATACCCTAGAACTAGGAGACATTCAAAGTTATTGAATGTAACAATGTATTCAACCAGAAGTGGGTGAACTGCCGAGTTTTATTTGAATAAATTCAGAATTGGGAGACTTTTCCAAGACAAATGTGAAACTCAAGACTCCTTAGAGTTTTGATCCTTTTCTTCTCAATCTCTCTCTCTGGTTGTGGGATTTTTTTCCCCCTTTGGTTTTGTGCATAAAATTTTGAGCCAGGAGAAACTGAAGACATTGGGGGAATTCTCCGGGGTCCTTAGGAGGATATGTATCGCCAGAGTCCATAGTGGTTTCCTCAAGTGAAATGGAGAAAGCGAGGCTCCTTCCTTGGGCATATTAGGAGGGTGTGCATAGATTAAGTGTGATCACAGTATAGTGAAACTGTATATTTTTGGACACCTCCATCCCTTTTAACTGTCACCTAGTGGGGGGCATATATTTCTTATTCCTTGATTCTATTGCTGAAAAGTACTTTTTAGAACTTCTTTCATAGAATTGTCTTCAGGAATAGTTTGAATCAAGTGAAAGATTATTTCAGATACTGTTTTAGACCTAAAATAGCACTCCCTGGCTCGATTGTTCACCTTGCTCACGAGACATGTTCTAGCATGTCGTTTGGCTTCATTTATTCAAAGGCATAGATCAGGAGTCTACTACCAAGGTGCGCTGCCAAACTAGGCACCTTGGAGGATATTAAGAAATGGCCATGGGCCCTGTCTGTTCCAATGGGGCTCGCATCTGGAGGAAGATGAAAAAGCAAGTGCAGTGGAGTGTGACATGGTTTGTGAGATGCTCAGAGCCCCAGGGTGCTTAAGAAGGGTGATCAACCCTACTTATTTTCTTAATTTGATGGAAAGATGTGGCTCATGAAAGACTTCAAAAAGGAGTGTCATTTGAGTTATTTCTCGAAAGGTGGGTAATTACTGGCTCCTGGCTTCAGATCAGCTCAACTCTGGCTGTTGTGGCCATTTGTGGAGTGAACCAGTGGATGGAAGACCTCTCTTTCTATAACTCTACCTCTCAAATAAATAAGTAAAATCTTAAACATTCCTGGCTGCAGCTCCTGAGTTCAGCTTCCTGCTAATAAAGAACTTGGAAGGCAAACGTTTTGGCTTGAGCCATTGGGTTCCTGCCATCCACTGGGAGATTTTGAAGTCTCCCAGCTTCAACCCATGTGCAGCCCTGGCTGTTGGGGGCATTTGGGGAATGAACCAGAGGATGGGAGCCATCTCTCTCTCTCTCTCTCTCTCTCTCTTTCTCTTAGTCTTTGCTTCTCAAATAAATGCTTTTTAATTTTATGAAATTTTCAAACAATAAAATGGTTATTTTTTGGTATCCAATTATGAGTTTTCACTTATTGATAAATTAATGTAGCTACAACCACAGTCAGGATAAGACTAGTTCCGTGGTCACCAGCCATTCCCTCATGCTCTCCCTCATCTAACCTGTTCCCCAGTTACTACTGATATGTTCTCTGTCCCTATCGTTTTGCCTTTTCCAGAATGTCAAATAAGTGAAATAATAGAACATTTAACAACTATAAACATTGTTGTACATGTTTTTGTGTGAGTATGTTTCATTTCTTTAGATAAATCCTTTAGAAATGGGTAGCAAGATCATGTTAAAAATATATTTAACTTAATGAGAAGCTATCAAACTGCTTATTAGAATGGGGAGTATCTTGCATTCCTACCAGTAATTTATAAACTGTTAAAACTCTTGAATGCTGTTTCACATGCTCTTGGGTTGGGGTTGGGGTTGGGGTTGGGGTTAGCAGTTGTATGTCATGGTGCCCTGGGGTTCTGAAGAGATGCCACATATCAACGGGAGCGCCTCCAGATCCTCCACGCAAACTTCAAAAAGAACCGCTCCTGTTTTGTTTGCTGAAGGTGTTAGAGTTCCATGGAAGAACACATTTGGAGAGAAAATAGATTTATCTGCAAAGCATTTAAAAAACACTGCGCTCTAGGGCACTGATTCCAGACTGTGTGATGTGGGCCATGGGTATTACATGTGGTGGTGCTAGGTAGTGCTTGCTGGGGAGAGAGAGCAGACACAAGTTATCAGTCTTCCATCACCTGCTTCATTCCCCAGATGACCACAACAGCTAGATCTGAATCAGGAGCCAGGAGCTCAATCTGAATCCCACATGGGTTGCAGGGACCAAAGTACTTGAGTCATTATCTTGGGCTCCTAGTGTGAGCATTAGTAGGACGTTGGATGGGAAGCCAAGGTGGCATTTCATCTCAGGCACACTGGGTCTCCCACACAGAGCCCCAACCACCTGGCCCATATTCTGCTGCTTTTCCCTGGCCATTAGCAGGGAGCTGGATTGGAAGTGGAGCAACTGGGTCTCAAACAAGCACCCATCTGTATGGGATGCTGACATCAAAGGTGGCTGCTTTACCTGCTACACCACAATGCAAGCCTTCCTACATGCATTTTTTTGTTTGTTTGTTTTTTGGACAGGCAGAGTGGACAGTGAGAGAGAGAGACAGAGAGAAAGGTCTTCCTTTGCCATTTGTTCACCCTCCAATGGCCACCGCGGCCGGCGCACCGCGCTGATCCGAAGCCAGGAGCCAGGTGCTTCTCCTGGTCTCCCATGCGGGTGCAGGGCCCAAGCACTTGGGCCATCCTCCACTGCACAACTAGGCCACAGCAGAGAGCTGGCCTGGAAGAGGGGAAACCAGGACAGAATCCGGCGCCCCAACCGGGACTAGAACCCGGGGTGCCAGCACCGCAGGCGGAGGATTAGCCTAGTGAGCCACGGCACCAGCCCCTACATGCATTTTTAAATAAGAAATATTTTAATATTTTCAAAGGGAAAAATACTTTTATTTTCATCATGTTCTTGCCTTTTATTTTACAAGTTTTTGCGTTTTCATAGAATAATATGTATCCCCAGGTATTGTGATAAATCACATGACTTTATCTGCATCCTTCCGACTTTAAGTCCATGAAGGGTGTGGTGTCACAGATGAAAAGCAATACTGTTGTTAGGATAAAATTGATGCCCAGCCCTGTCTGAAATTAAATATCTGTTTAAAATGAAAGATATTAAATCGGTAGCTGCCTGAGTTCCATTTAGCCCATTGGTGTTTCTTGTTTTGCCCAAATGCTATTTTAATTTTTGTTTTAAATGAGTTTTCAACATCTATAAAATTAGGAGTTTTCACATTTAAAGAATCAAAATAAAATTCTTGTTTATTTTGAAAATTCATGAGTATGGTTCTGAGACAGCTTTTCTGAATGGCAGACTTGGCCAGAGCTGAGCAGTGGCTGAATAGCAGGAGCTCTCTTTGAGTATCTTCTGCTTAACTCGTTCCTGTCATCTGTCGGGCCTGAGTCGGTATTTGAATTTGCAGCTACTCAGTCTTGGGTTTCATGCACTGGAATGGAACTGAGAAGCTGGGGCATTCCTCCCTGTGCTGGAGGGCTGAAAATGTTGTTGCCATGGAAGTTAGCTGAGGTCCAACTGGGCCTATCCCCCGGTGTAGTGGGGCTAATATTGGATCTAGGAGGCAAAAATCGTGATCCCGTACCTGGCTAGTGTGAGTGAAGTTACATAGGATCCTTCAAACTGGAGATTCTATTTCCTGCCTTATCTGTATCAGGAAGATTTATTTATTATCACTATTATTATTATAAGCAACAAAAACAGATCCTGGTGAATTTACATAAAATGGGATTATATCGAAAGGGTATTGGATAACTCAGAGTATCAAAGGAAAACAATGTTCTAGACCCAGAAGCTTCAGGACAATCAGGGATATTCTGAGGGGTGATAGGAACTAGAGAAATCAGTTCTTTCCTCCTCTCTTTGTCATTCTGCTCAAGAGTCTTAAGCCCTGGAAAAGAGCATCAAGTTGGTCAGGCTCACACCCTTAGTAGGGCAGGGCGCTGTGGTTAACAGACCCTCCAAGACTATGTACAACACAAGAAAAGGCTTCCCCTAGAGGAGTTCTGGGTGTTGTTGCCAGACAAAGGATCACTGGGGATGGATGTAGGCAACGAAAACAAGCGTTCACTGTACGTCCCCTCCGTGTTGTCTCAGAGTTACTGAATATGCACTATGAAGTGCTGTAGTGGAGTAAAGAGGTAGCATTGCAAGTGACACGAGAGCCAAATTGAGAGTGTGCTCTTTTAAGTAAACAAATGTATTGGCATCCCTTATCTCGGGAGTATATAGAGCGACTAGAACACAGAATGTGACAACTTAATTCCTTTTAGCAGTTGCCTTAGCTATAAAATCTCCAAAGAGGCCATGCTAACTTCAAATTAAAAACATCTATAACATCCAAAGATGTTCCTTGAGATATCATATTTTTTTCTGAGTTTTGTGCTTTTGTTTATTTCTTTGCAAGATCTTGCTTTGCAACACTCAAGGAAAATAAGTGAATCCAGCTATTACTACCACCTTCCCCCCCCCCCCCCCCCAAATCACTGGCATGGGTAGAAATTGAAAGTAATGATTCAAATAAGAGAGGCAGTGCAGAAAGCCTCAGCTGGATGGCAGGAAACAGAGCAAAAGTCAGACTGTTCGTTTTTGAAAAGGGAAAACAAGCAACTCACAGTGAAACGTACGTGAAAATCATTTCTAATAATAGCTCGTGGTAGGCAATTCCCAAGGGAAAAAAAAATCGTTGGTGTGCTGAGAAAATTAGAGTGAGAATGCACAGTATCTTGATGTGTTACTTAAGGCAATGGAGCTTTAGACTTTACCTTATGTGCCATGTACATTGATTAAATACAAAATATATGCCGGCCATTTTTGTCCATCATTTACTGTATTGATTTGGTAGCAGGGGAACTGTAATAAAAAAGCCATTGATTTACTGTCCTTATTTGCTTATGGGCTTTTTTTTATTATTAATTTTTCACCTTTTCTTTCTCTTTTTTTGGATCATTTCTCCTAGACAAATGCTGTGCTTCATGAGGTTAAAAGAGAGGGGCTCCCCGTGGAACAAAGGAATGAGATCCTGACTGCCATCCTTGCCCCACTCACCACCCGTCAGAACCTGCGGAGGGAATGGCATGCCAGGTCAGTTCTGCTGGGAGATGGGGATTTGTTGTCCCTGACACACAGGGGCTATATGTGGCGAAACCCCTCCTTCCAGTTGGTCTCTTCCCTCTCATTTGAGGGACCAAGAAAAATAAGCACGTTGAAGACCATTTCAGCTAGTTAGCTTTCCTGTCCATGGAACCTACATTAGTTGTAATGACCCGTGACGCTGCCTGGGTGTGTATATGATTTATCCGTAGGTATAACATTTAGCATAAATGTTTGCATCTTGAGCATAATGTGCTTAAGTACCTGAGCCGGAAGGACGCTTTATAATCAGCAGACCCCAAATCTGGGTATTTGGGTAGACCAGATGTCTGGGAAACCCGCACAGTGTTCTTGGGTCACTTGGTGCAAAGTAGGTCCATTTATAACCCCATTTGTAGAATTGACGAAACGGGCATTGTTTTTGCCTCAGCACACTTTGTTTCCACGTGGAGTTGCCTGCGCTAGAAAGCTGCTACTGGTGGAAAGTTGCTCTTACAGAACTGATGCTGGCACGATAAGCACCACATTATCCTGCTCTTTTTTGAGAAACGGTTCATACGTGGATGGATGGAACTAGTTTCCTAGCACGTTGAGGTTGTCCTTTAGCTCTGCAGTTTGTCAAAGCTGTTGAATCGCCCTCCGTCCCTGTGCTAAGGAAGAGGAAATCCGGAAGACTGTGCTGTATGCTGTCTCACATTCTTCCCTAACACTCAAATATTCATTCTCTGTTCCTGGGAGTCAAAAACATTTATTGATAACCATAATATTCTTCACCTGACTTCATGCAATGGCATTTACACTGATTGATGGCTTTACTGGGAAGAATTGTCAAAATAGATTTGTCTGAACTGGGCTGAAGATGAGCATTTTCTAGGCCGATAGTATGAACTATTGATTCTGATTGGTATCAGAAATCTGCTTCTCCAGGTATGTGTATTATCTCTGAATTCAGGCTTGTATTTAAATAATAGTGGAAAAATTCCCAGCGATTCCACTCACCCCTCTCCATTTTGGTGGAAAGAGTAAATGACAGTTTCAGCGACAGCAGCGACCAGCCAATGTTTAATTTAACTCGTACCAATTCACTTAAAATTTTCTTTGTATTATAATTTACTTGTATTCATTAAAGTATACATGCTTTATTAAAATAATGGAATATCAGTGTGCAGACTAAGAGGTTTCCTTCTCTGTTTGACATTTTCTATCTTTCCCATGATAGTTCTTGTTAAATTAAAAAAAAAAAAAAAGGGAAGATAGAATTTCACTATAATCTCTCTCCCAAAGCATCTCTCTTCCCTCCAAAGCATGAGAGAGAAGGGGTGAGGGGGGAGAGACAGAGAGAGTGTCCACGGATGCTTTTGTTGAGTGCATTTGGTGTGTTAACAATAATTTCCGAAGACACCAAATCATCAGACAACGTGACCAGAGCGGCCTGTCTCCACGGAGCCTGCTGTCAGCGTTTCTGCCTTCACTGGTAACAGTTCCATCAGGAGCTGGAGCCAGTGTTGAAGTGGATGTAGTCTAGCATCTGGAACAGAAATTCTCAAGTCCTTTGTGGTAGGGGAGGAGGAAAGAGCAAGCTTAGCAGCTGACATTACGCAGAGCCCCTTAAAACTAAACACCTGAAAGCCAATCTCCAGAGGGCGATGTCTTGCGCGCTCCCAAGGAGAAGTGTCCTCCGCGTTCTAAGTAACCGCCGTTCTCGCCCCCCAAGCCTGCTGCAGCCCCGTTTGCCCATCCCCATCCCAGTGACCGAGCTGAGGCTTCTCCGGGCACTTGGGACCCGCAGGCGGTCACCACACGCCTCTCGAATTTTCGTCTTCCGAGCATCCTCGTCTGGCCATCTCGAATCGCACGTTGCCTCGAGTAGCCATCAGTCGGGGTGGTGGTGAAAGTTAGAAAATGTCCACGGGCAGCCCAGACTGAGCTGCCTGTGTTTTGGAGATTGGCCTGTTGTGTACTTCGGAATTACACAAGGAAAAATGTGCTTTGACAGAAAATAATTAGCACTCACCAAAGGCCAGGCAGTAGGTTACAGTATTTTACTTTCATCAAAGCTACCAGGGGATCGTTTAGATTAGATAATAGAATTTTTTTTTCCCCCGCTGAAAGTTAAATACAGATGACTCTAATTACCTTATATTGCACGTTAGAGCACGAGCTGGGAACCGAAGAACTTCTAGAAATTTAGGTCAGCTGAGACTCCACAGCTGGCAATCGCTTCAGTGTAAGTCTGTTGCAATAAACCGTCTCCTGAGCAGGTTCATTGGCGATCATGACATCAGGGAGACTATTTTAAGTGAAACTGGTAAACTCAGTTGTAAAATATTTGTGTCTCTCTCAAGCCAGGAGCTGAGCCATTGTTTGGGCCTCGACTGAAATCTCTCAAACCAAAAGCATATGTTCCCTATCATTTTGCTTTTGGAGAAAAGTGTCCATTCTGCATGACTCGGGGTAACCGAGTTTGTCACAGTGTCACACAACCCTGCGATCCTAGAGGCACATCTGAGTGCTGTGGGCTTCCTTCCCCAAGCTCGGTAATCCCATAAACAACCCTCTCCAAATAGGCTTATTAGGCTGTCTGTTCACTTCCCCGGAGTTGAATGATCCAAAGTACATCCAGGAGAAGCTGTGTGAATGCAGGGTAAGTGTTAACAGAAGTGGTACAGAATTTCTGAAGATTTGGCTTTATTTATACAGTCCACTCCGCCTGATGGACAGCTTGTTACAGCTTTTAAAGAACTGAGCAAGCCCTCTCATCTGACCCCTTCCTGACCCCCGCAACCCAAAGGTCAGTCTGCAGCTAATAAACTCTGAGGCTCTTAGGGTCTACTGTAGGAAAAGGCAGAGAAAGAGCAGCTGCAAGGACGGGGTATCCCAGAAAAGGCTGCTTTCGGGTCACTCTCTGATAATGAAAATGATTACCAAATTATATGGAAGTTTAACCGCAATAGTGAGTGAGAGGAGGGTGGAGCCCAGCGTATTAGGTTTGATAAATGAACTGTGAAGAGGCCCATCTGGCTCTCAACATCTTTTCTCCCCCTCTTTCCCTACCAAGGGGAAACATTTTAAAATAACAGCAGTACATATAGACTCAATGACCCATGCAAGGAGCTGGAATGGATTAAGATTTAATGGTGACAGTGGAAGAAATTATCATTTGAAAAGTGCACCAAAGAAAAGGTACAGTTCAATGTCCATGCCCGAATTGTTTTTCTAAATAAAATATAATAAGAATCAGCGCCTTTGTTTATTTTACACAAATCCCCAGCATCTTTACTAGATTGCCAGAAATTCTGAAGGCGCTGTGCATTACGGAATAATTGTTCCTGGTGGGGCTCAGAGCAGCTTCCCCTTGCCTTGACCATGTCAGAGTGAGAAGCAAGCACTTTACGTCTGCCTGCTTACTCGTTTGCAGCTACGTAGGAAAATCAAGTGTGAGGGAAAATGTGAAAAATTTGGCAACCATTTCAGCATCTCATCATTGATCGTTGTGCATTTTTTTTTTCTGATACTGATTATACACTTTTTTAAGTTCCTGGGAAAGAAGAATTTAAGGCTAAGTTTATTGGTGCAAAAAATTTGAAATCCATGCGTAGTTTTTCATATTCTGCATTTCCCACAGACTTTTAGAAGGAGCACCTAATTATGGTTTTCACTTGATTTGTTCATTTATTTAATTTTGGCACCAAAAGAGAATTCACTTTTAATTTCATTTTCTACAAACTTTCTGAAGTTCCCTCAAATGAATAACTCTTAATACTGTTTTATTCCTCCTGTGAATGACTTGGCAGTTTTTCTGTAAAAGAAAGCAAGCACATAGTGTTAATTAACTAGATTAAGGTTTATTCCTTTCTTTATTCTTTACTCAAGGAAACATCACAGCAATGCTAATTAGTGGCAACAGCGCGGATGGGTCACTGAAAGCTCTATGTCTGCTCGCTGGTAATTGATCAGGATAATCTATTTAAAGCTCTCACCCAGGTCTGTGTGAACAGGGATGGGTACTGGTTTCAGACCGTTGATACCAGAGACCACAAAGCGGTGTCATTGCTGCAGAGACGATGGGCGCATGCTATGATTCTTTGTGAAATGAAAGTGATTTTACTCATACGGTGTACAAAATGCTGCATGAGGTGCCATGCACATTCTAGATTGTGCTAAGGGAGCCAGTTTAAGAGTTCATCTGGGGATGAGAATGTAGAAAAGTTCCTAGAAAGACGCTGTGGAAGGCAGTGAGCAGGCTAGTAGTGCTGTAACCCAATCAGGAACGTGTTGAACTGTGGAGGTCTTGGAAGACTGTACTGTTGTTACCTTGAAAGCCCCTTCTGTTGAGCTTCATTGTCTGCATAATGTAAGCCTCACCAAGACAATGCTTATATTAAAAATAGAAATTAAAAGCTTCTAAATGTTATCTGGAGTCAGCATGTTTCCCACTTGTGGTTTTGACTTGTCTGTGGGGCTTTGGACTAAGTGTGCTTAGAAAGACAGTTATGGAGATGAGGGTGCTTTGAGCATTACCTGTGCGTTTCACTTTAAGGCAGCACCTCTAAATCTTCACTACGTAAGAGGCAAATGCAGAAAGCTAAGGCAAAAGCAAGGTTTTTAGTTTTTTGTTGTTGTTGTTGTTGTTAATTAAAAAAATTGAGATACAATTCACAGAACAGAAAACTTCATAAGACATAAAATTAATCATTTTAAAAGTCGACAAAGGTATTTTTTTTTTAGTATATGCCCAATTGTGCAGCCATCACCACTTACCTGATTTTTCTTACCCCAAAATAAAACTTTGTAACTGTTCACAGCCCATCTCAATTCTCCTTCCTCCCAAGAATGGCTAATCCTTATCTACTTTCCATTTCTATAGATTTGCCTATTCTGATCATTTCTTATAAATAATTTCATAAAATGCAAAGTATTTTATATCTGACTTCTTTCATTTAGCATAACGATTTCAGGGGTCATCCTTGTCATAGCATGCATTTCATTTGTTTGTACTGCCGAATAATATTCCGTTATATGGATGTGCCACATTTTATTTATCCAGTCACCCATTGATGGACATTAAGTTGTTCTACCTGTGGCTATTTTGAACAATGCTGCTGTGAACATGTTTTTGAGTGACGTTTTTAGTTCTGTAGGGTGCATTGCTGCTGGGATTCAATCACTGGACATGGGGTAGCTCAATGTTTAATTTTTTGAGGAATTTCCAGACTTTTTTTTTTTTAAGATTTATTTATCTGAGAGGCAGAGGTACAGACAGAGAGAGGGAGAGACAGAGAGAGGTCTTCTATCCACTGGCTCACTCCCCAGATGGCTGCAACAGCTGGAGCTGCACCAATCAGAAGCCAGGAGCCAGGAGCTTCTTCTGGGTCTCCCACATGGGTGCAGGGACCCAAGACAATTGGACCATCTTCCATTGCTTTCCCAGGCTACAAGCAAAGAGCTGGATCAGAATAGGAGCAGCCAGGACATGAACTGGTACCCATGTGGGATGCCAGTGCTGTAGGCGGAGGCTTGGCCCACTGTGCCACAGTGCCACCCCCCAGACTGTTTTCCACATGTGATGCACCACTTGGCAATCCCAGCAGTGTAACACAGAGGTTCCAATTTTTGCACGTCCTTACCAAAACCTGTTGGTTTGGGTTTTCTAGATTAGAGGTCTCATTGGCATGTCCTTATGGTGTTGACATGCCTTTCCCTAGTGACTAATGATGCCGAAATCTTTTCATGTAAGGTTTTCCTGAAAACCAATCTTCTTCTTCTTTTTTTTAAAAATAGAATATTATTTAAATGTGGCAGACTTAAGAACTCACCTCTCGTTAGCAGTAAAGAACTCACAAGCCTGCCAGGGGTATTGGGCTTGTTGAAGGGGTGAATTCCAAGGGAGGCTGTCATTTACTGGCAGCTGTGTCCACTTCCCCCTGACCAGGAGGAGGCCTGGCCCTTGATTTACTTCCATAGGGCTCAACTTACTCGTTTCTGGAGATTTCCTACTGCCGTTCTGTTAAGTTTCTCTCATTACAGTGTCTGACCGCTGAAATGAGAATGTTGTCCTTTGGAGTGGCTCCTCCACTTTTACCCTCAAACAGGACTCCCAGAGCAGACAGCTTCAGTTGGGTCCAAGGAGCCTTAAAATGGTGCTAAGAACGATTTTTAAAAAGATCCATGACAGTTTCTTAGCAAAGCTTTTAGAACTTCTTATGTCCAGTTAAAAGTGACTTCCTCAACACCTAGAGAGCTTTACATACACGTCTTCCTCATACTGGGCCTTTGGCAGCTCAAAAAACTGCCAAGTTAGTATTTTTCTCTGGACAAATACAATGGTCTCAGCATTGAGCATTCCCCTAGTCACAGCCCTGCCCCTCACTGCTGGCCCCCAGAATAGACCCACTGCAGACCCCCTGATAGGCCCCAACCCCTGATGGTTAGAACCTAGAGCTTCAAGGGAGTCGGACTGCATTTTCCGAGCTAATGGGCCTCAGCACTTTGATCTGGATGGGAGTCAAAGTATGTGTAAGGCACTTGTGGTTCACTTCAGGTGCTAAGAGTTGATGTGGAGGTTTCCTCCTTGGCTATCTGGTCTCTCCTTTTGCCTCTGGCAAGCTTAGATTATACTCAAAACTGACAAGTTGTCCAGCTTAGCAATGAACTATTATTTATTGAGGGCTGGTCAGGCGCAAGTACCTGTAGAAAGTATCAAAATGAGTATCAAAATGAGTTTGACACGGTGTCAACTCTGAAATACTTATTTAATGCAGGGGCCGGGGCAGTTAATAGGAACACAGCGGCTACCACGTGCGTTTCCTTCCTTACCAATGCGGCCTGCACTGAGGGGGCTTGTATTTGGGCCGAAGCTTAAGAAAAAAAGAGCAACTTGACTTTGATTCTACGCTGATTCTGTGTTCATATTGTTGTCTCTGCTACCATAGTGTAGGCTTCACGAAGGAAGAGCCTTGGTCTGCTCAGCGGCTCTGAAATGTGCACCCCGAGGTCTCTGTAACATTAAGTGGTCTCCCCCGTTAGAACGATGCCCTGTGCGGGCAAGGTCCTTGCTGCTTGGTTCTCTTTGTATCACCAGCATCTGGAAGGGTGCCTGGCGTGAGTCACCTGAATGAAGGACATGACCTTCCTGTCACCCCATTTCCTGTGCTCGGAAGGGCTCCTGTTCCTCCTTCATCCTGAAGAGGAGTGACCATTTGACATACTGTCCTGGTGCTTTTCTCCCCTCCCCCCCTACCGTTGCTGGGTGTGAAAACCTTGAAAATGAAAGTAAGGCGAGATCTTTGATGTGAGTTCTGTGGTGTTTCAGCCCCAAGACAGCACCCCAGGCCCTCGTTCCAGCACAAACACGGGAGAACACTGTCTGCCCAGGCACTTGACGGAGATACACCGTGAGACTGGGCTGAGACTAGGACACAAGGACATGGTCTTGTCCTTGAACCCGCCTTCCTGGCTCCTTGTCCTTCCTGGAAGTGCAGTAGAACTGGGGGAAGGAGAGGAACCAGTGAGGAAGGGAAGGTAAAGGCCCCTCTGGGCTCATGCCAATGAATAAACGGGTAGGTTCCAGTTCAGCAGGGACGAAGTGAGACCCACACACGTCAAGTCTCTGTTCTGCCTGCTCTGCATGGCTGCTTTATTCTTGACACCTGGTGATGTCCTGATGTGGCTTTAATAATAGTGACACAGGGATGAGCTTTGATCCTGGTGACTCCACACTTGGGCTAGAACTTGTTTTCCACCCTAGGGAGTTGTGGTCACCAAAAAAAGAGTAGAGCCTTGAGGATGGGGCTGTGGCGTGTTGAGGCTGATGCACTTATCTGCAGAGACAACCTGTGGCTGCGCCATCTGACCGTGCCAGCTATTGCCATCCGTGCTCCAGAGAGTGGCTGCTTGTGCTGGCGGGGGTGAGTTAGTTGGGAACTAGACGTTGGGACACCTGCCGTTCAGTCCTTGTGCATCGCAGCTTGCGGAATTCTGTATTATAGTGTTGGGGGTGAGCATGAGGAGTCAAGGAAGCAGGGAAGCCCTGGCCTGCTAATTGCTTTCAATATCTTTCTCTGTCCATGCATCTGTCCCTTCTCCTTTAGTGATTGCCGTCTCTGCTCCCTGCTGCCCTGGGCAGAAGAATGTCCTCTGTGTCTCTGCACCAGATTACTCCATAAAATCCGCTTACTCCATAAAACCTCCTCATAAATGTGTAGGCATTGAAATGTTGTATAAATTTAGAGCAAGGATTAAATGAATCTCGAGATAGGGTTACCTTTTTTTCCAAGATGCAGCAACTTATCTTAAGGGGGCAAGAGTTGTTAATGTTATTACCGTTGTTACTGTCATTATTTGAATGGTTTTATGGGGGACAAATGCCAATTGACTTCTGCGTATCTTGTTTAGAAAATCAACACATGGGCTCAGTCCGAGCTGTGCCTCTGGCAGATCTCTCACTGTGCTCAGTTGTTTGCCGTTTCTTATGGACAGTGCTGCTTGAACTTTCTGAGGAAACATTGGTTCATTCATTTATTCTACAAATATTTATTAAGTGCATAGTATTTTCCAAGCAGTGTTCCAAGTTCTGGATACACACAGCCCTGAACCAAAGTGATGAAAATTCTTCTCTCATTGAGCTTATATTCTAGTTGAATGACAGACGAGAACTGTTTTCCTAAGTGGAACTCTGGAAATTTCATATATATATATATACACACACACACACATATATATATACACATAATATACACACACATATATATACACATAATATATACACACACACACATATATATTAGGGACAAATATCTGGCTCAGTGGTTAAAACCCTGTATCCCACATCAGAGTACCGGGTTCCAGTCCCAGCTCCTCTCCCAGTAACCACTTCTTGCTAATTCAAACCCTGGGAGGATATGGCTCAAGTACTTGGATTCTTGCCATCCACATGGGAGACCCAGTTTGAGATTCAGGCTCCTGGCTTCAGCCTGGCACAGCCCTGGCTGTTGCCCAGAGTGAAACAGTGGATAAAAGACCCCCCCCCCACTTCTGCCTTTCAAGTAAAGAAATTTTTTAAAAGAGAGGGGTTAAGCCTCTGCCTGCAGTACTATTATCCCATATGGGAGGTATTTCAAGTCCCAGCTGCTCTATTTCCAATTCAGCTCCCTGCTAGTGTGCTAGGAAACCAGCAGAGGATGGCCCAAGTGCTTGGGCCCTTGTACCCATGGGAGAGTCCAGAAGAAGCTCCTGGCTTCAGATCAACCCAGTGCTGGCCGTTGCAACCATCTGGAGAATGAACCAGTGGATGGTGTGTCTAACTCTTCCTCTCAAATAAATGAATAAATCTTTTTTAAAGTAACATATTATAAAAAGAGAATTAACTTTCAAAAAAAGAGAAGAAATGTATATAGTTGCCATGTCCTGCATATTTGACAGCACTCTACAGAACCAAAATAAAGTCATTCAGTGGAAATAAAGACACAGCCTTTCCTGCTCTTAGGAAATGCTCACTTGCTGTAACACTTGCACGCCGTTGTAGTGAGTCACGTTTGTGAGGTATGGGCAAAACACCAGTGTCCGCGAAATGCCACGCTAAGGAATGTGCAACGTTGATTCTCCTCTGATTAACTATCCCCTGCTTCCCAGTGCCTTTTCCCAGAAATGTGTCACTTGAAAGATCTTCCCTTTAAGGAAGGCTTAAATTAAGGCCTCGCTATATTGAGAAATCTTTCATAAGAATGAACTGAAGCAGCTGTCCGTTTCTCATAGGTGTTGGGGGATTACGGATCATAATGTACTCAAGCGCTTCATAAATGGTGGTTATTGTTGCCGCGAGTGGCCTGGCAGTCATGGGTTGCTTCAGCAAATATTTACCGAGTGCCTTCCTGGTATTAGGCACTGTCCTAGGCCCTGAGGCCATGGAGCTGAGTAACGTGTGTAGGGGGAGTATATTACACAGTGCAGAATAAGTGCTGCGGAAGAGGTTGAGTCATGATTCCGTGGAAACCCATGTGCCAGGGAAGCAAGAGGCTCAGTGTCCTTGTGTGGCTCGTTATATGCCCACAGACTGTGAGGAATGTTGGCTACGAGGGGGCAGGTGGCTCTTTGTCTCCAAGTCTGAGTGAGAAGTAGGGGAGAAATCTGTGCATGATTGTGGGTCATTGGATGAAGTTTATGCTACCTTTCTCCAGAGGGACCCAGTTCTCAGTGTTAAAAGCAGGGGGGGCAATCATTTACTTCCGGAGCAAGTTTTGTGAATATGGCGTGGTGACTGGGAGCTTGGATTCTGAGTCAGATTGCCTAGAGTTGAATCTTGGATCCACTTCTGTAACTCCAGGGAAGTAACAATTACAGACTTTAACTAGACAAGTCATGCAACCCTTCTGAGCCTCACTTTTCTGGTTTATAGTTTGCTTAAGGGATGATGATAATGGAACCTATTTCCCAGAGCTAAGTGATTCCCTGTAAAATACCTAGAGCCCATTTCCGTAATGCACTCAGTATTCAATAGAAAGGACCTGTCCTCATCATCCTCAGATCAAAACAATGTCAAGAATCAACTCAGTTACCCTCTCCAAAACTTGCCTTTCCTTTAAAAAAAATCTATTGATTTGAAAGGCAGTGTAACAGAGAGGAAGAGAGAGAGAAAGAGACTAAGAGACTTCCATTTACTGGGTTACTCTCCAAATGGCCACAACAGCCAAGAAGCCAGGAACTGCCTCTTGGTCTCCCACATGGGTGGCAGGGGCCCAAGTACCTTGGCCATCTTTTGCTGCCCTCCCAGGTGCATTAGCAGGAAGCTGTATGAGAAGCAGAGTGGCCAGGACTCAAACTGGCGCTCCGACGTGGGATGCCAGTGCTATAAACTGCAGCTTAACCCACCATTCTGCAACACTCGTCCCTGGTGTCTCCTTTGCAACAGTACCCTTTGTGAAATCCTAGCCTATTGCTGAATTGGTGTAGGAAGGAGCTGTAGGCAGGACTGTATGTCAGGCCCTCCACTGAGCACTGTCACACATTGGCAGAGAGCTAGGCTGTGGTGCGAGTCCTATCATCAGCTGGCTGCAGCACTCGGAGCAAGTCCCAGACACTCTGGACCTGAGCCACTTTGTCTGGAACAAAAGTGGCACAAGTCCGATGACCACCAAGGTAGGAGGCACGTTCCAGCCCTGACCTGGATGTGGCCCCTTCGCTTGGATTCCTGGGAGCAGCCGAAAGTAAGTGTCAGTTCCTGTGAAGCCTGCAGTTGTATTAATTATTATTATTATTTTTTTTTGACAGGCAGAGTGGACAGTGAGAGAGAGAGAGACAGAGAGAAAGGTCTTCCTTTTTGCCGTTGGTTCACCCTCCAATGCTGCTGCGGCTGGCGCGCTGCGGCCGGCGCACCGCGCTGATCCGATGGCAGGAGCCAGGTGCTTCTCCTGGTCTCCCATGGGGTGCAGGGCCCAAGCACTTGGGCCATCCTCCACTGCACTCCCTGGCCACAGCAGAGAGCTGGCCTGGAAGAGGGGCAACCAGGACAGAATCCGGCGCCCCGACCAGGACTAGAACCCGGTGTGGCAGCGCCGCAAGGCGGAGGATTAGCCTAGTGAGCCATGGCGCCGGCCATGTATTAATTCTAATAATAGTAGCAGCCCGCATTGATTGGGAACTCACTATGTGCAGGCAGAGTTTTCAATGCTTTCTATGGCGAGGTGAGGAAACATAAGGAGTGAGGGAGCTTGCCCAAAGCAACAGCTAGTACGGAGTGGGGATGGAATGTAAGCCAACATGACCCAGCCCGGCCCAGCCCACTCGGAATGTAGGGCTGCTGCGAGGGCAGTAACTTCGCTTTAGTCTTTGGCAGCCACTCGAATGCTTCCCTGAGTATTTTGACTCAAGTCTCAACATGTGGGGCTCAGAGACCTTCTGGGATCCTTCCCGGCCTGCGTCTGTAAGTCTGTCTTCCTCTGGTACCAAAATGTGTTTCTCACTTTTTCGTTGTGGGTGCATCTCTCTCTCTCTAAGGAAGTCGTTTCCAGCTCATGCTTTATAAATCTTCCTGCCGCCAATCTTTTAAGGGAGACCGTTATTACCTTTATAGCTATGTCATTTCTTTTATATTGCTTACAATCTTTTAAGAAGGTGAGAGAGTCAGGGCGAAGATGAGAACATCAAAGTTTAGCCTCCAAGAAATCTGTAAATCCTCAACGTCAAATAATTTTGGGGCCATGTTCACCAAGGCTGATTTGAGCAGGTGCCCTTAAGGTGCAAGGGTAGCAATTTATCTACTCCGTAATGGGTTAATCACCAGCTGTACACTATGTTTATATCGAGGAAACAATTTCCTGCACATCAAGTGTAGTCATTTTATTCTATCTCAGGGGTGTCCCCAGTGTATTTTACAAATTTACTTTGTAATGTATATTCCAGGTTTATAGATAAAAGTTTAACTCTGCTTTTCAGTTGAGGCTGTGATGGGGGCAGGGGAGCTGGGGCTTGAGGGAAAGGAGAGGAACAGCTCTGATGGCCTGTAGGGGACACTGTTGCCTCATTTATCAGAATTTCCCAGTATCTTGTCCTGGGACAAAAAGAAAGAGAAACAGAACACCAAGACAAGTCAGAAAGCAGAAATAGGTCAGTCACCTTAAAGTTGGTCCTCAGAATCACTGGAATAGTTCCAGTGGGTTTAGAATATTTGGTGTTTCTCAGGCATTGGCCGGGCTGTTTGGTGTCCATGCAGGAAGTAGTTCAGTGTCTCTGAGATGGGGTGATGGTTAAGACTCCCAATTAGCTGTCTCTCCACATTCTCCACCAGCCAGAGTGCTCAGCACATTACTTTTTCATTTGATAAACCTTTGGCTTTCACTGACCATCTTCATTGCCTATTAAGATATGCTCATGTTAAGTTGGAAATCCTTCTGGTATCTGGTATTCTAAATAAATACTAGAAGCCTTGGAAGGGCATTTTGGAAGTTCTCTTCCTCCTGTTTTTGTCCATATCATTTTCATCGCTGAAAAAGATGCTGTTTACTGGGAAAATGAAGTTGTTATGGCTGCAGGAGAGGCGTCTGCAGGGCTTGATGGGAACTCCAGGAAGCACACGGCCAGGTGCTGCAATGGCTCCTGGTTGGGCATGCCTCTCTCCAAACTGTTGACAGCTTCTGTGTCTGTCCAGGTGCCCCGTGGCCTTGGCAGCCAAACCTCCACCTCCCTGCCCAGCTCTGACCTCTTCCTCACCAGACCACGGGCCCTGGAAGGTGATTGTAATTAACCCTTGGGAAGCATGGGTTTTGTTAAGGCAGTGTGCACAGTAATGATATTGTTAGCTTGCTTCATTTCCAGTTTCACCATCAATTATGCCATGTGTTTCATCCAGTTGGTGCTACCCTCCCAGTGTTAATTATAACCTACAAGACTGTTACAGTTAATTTTATGGCAAGCATATTGTCTCTTCAAGGCTCCAGAGCAGCTCATAAATTATCTTGAAGGTAAAATGTAACTTGGGGAACTAGTTATGAAAATTCCATCCATCTCGCTTAGGAGCTGCAGCTGCTACTGTCAGCTGCCTCGCCGCTGCATTGTGAAGGAATTATGGTGGGTCAAGTTGAAGAGGGTAGGCCCAGGCTGTCACTGCGGAGAAAGGCTGTCCTGGCCCTGTCAGACAAGTACCTTCTGCCAATCCCTGGTGGTTTCATTTTGCAGGCAGAAAGAGGAGGCAGCGCAGGTGGACAGTCCCCCAGCTGTCTGTATTCATTACTTTACAGAAACTTGGTGTAGGTAGGCAGGTCCAGAGACCTTGCCTCTTCTCTGTTGTCATGATGTTAGGCATCATCTACAAAGTGTGAGGTGGATAACTCTATAACTACCTCAGGGTTTGGTTTAGGAGACCAGACAGGTAGAGGGGTAGAAGCTTCTTGTAGCAAGAAACCACCCCCCCCCGCACCTCCACCTCGCCCCCTGCCAGCAGCCCCTTGCTGATCTCCCACATGGCGAGTTCTATCTTGCAAAAGCCCTTGGCTTGAATGAGCACTTTATTTGTGGTTGTTATTTTTCATATAATCTGATAAAGTGAGATTTCACTGTGAACGAATGTACTCTAAAATTGCCTGCTAAATAAATTAGCAGGTTATCTTATTGGGATAATAAACACACTCCTTTTCTGTTTCCTCACACGAAGTATAAGCCTTACATTTCAGCCCTCGGGGCTTTAGCATTATTATTTTTAATGACTGAACACAAGTCTTTCATTTAGCTTGTTTGTATAGTTACTGTAAATGATCTTTCTGCTGTTGGTTCTTCATTTGAAATTCTGCATGTTATGCCAGCTTTAAAAGCTTTGAGGGGGCCTCTGAGAATTGGGAGCTGTAGTAAGCTCAGCATCGCCTAGCAGCATCAGAAACAGGCTGTGGCAGGAAAGTCAGAGAGAGTGTGGAAAGAAAGTCCGCCTGCACGTGTCGATCTGAGTGGTGTGGGCTTGCATGTAGCGGGTGGGCGTGGGGGTGGTGCAGGCCGAGGAGTCTCTGCACGGTGGAGGACAAGAGCCGTGCCCGGAGCTGGTGGTTTGTTCCCCCTCATGTTCCTGAACATGTTTATTGTGTTCCCACATCCGCTGGCTTTTGTGTCCAGGGTGCCTGCGACTGTTGTACCTGGGCTGTGTAGTGGGAAAAAAAAATGAGGTCTGGTTTTGAGGGGTTCCGGGGGGGCACAGGGAGTGTTGAAATCTGCCCAGAAGGAACCCTTGGCTTTGGTCTTCTGTGCTTTTGTTTATAGGAGCCCAGGAGTTGAGTATTTGTGAGTTTTCCAATGAATGCCAGTGAGTTCAGACCTGAGTTGCAAAGCCACGTCTCCGGGGCCTGGCAGTAACCTCAGTAATGAATGGAACCGAAGAGAGGGGACTTTCATACCCCGTGGGTGCAGCTGCTCTTCAGCCTTGCAGGGACCTTGTCACCAGGGCTTCCATGTTTTCAAGAGAGGTGGGAAATGTAGGCTGTGTATGAAGGCTTATGAAGGCTCCCAGCTCCAAGTGTTAGCTTACTAATGCAAATATTTGTAATTATTATTCAGGCTAATCAAAACATGTCTGGAGGCTGGACGGTGTGGATAGGATTCTGTTCTAAAATGGAAGTCCTGGCTGCTTTGAATTAAAAACCCTCTCTACTTTCTCCCACTTCTTGAGAATAGAAGTACCAGCCCTGGCTGGGAGACTACAACAACACGATCTGGGCACTGCCGCCATGACCCAGCACCATTGGTCTGCTCTATGTAGGTTCTACTTACAAGGGTTGTTTATATGTATTTTATTTTATTTTGCCTTGAACTTGGCAGGCTTCTGAGAGCGTATCAGGGAACGTTTTCACGAGCAAAGTGTATGTGGTGCTCATCATCACTATAACAGGGGCGCCTGCCAAAGGGTTGTGGTTTTGAATCCGATAAAGGGTTTGATTCCCCGAATGGAAGGGCCAGGACTCTGTGGCTGGTGAATCCCCATCTCTGCTGTGACACCCGGAACGCCTCGGGAGGGGAACCCAGCTGCTCCTTCAAGGCACAAGTGAGGCTTCTACAAGGACCTCACGTGGTCTCACTGCTCCTGCCCAGCAGCCACGTGGGGGTGTGGCTTGAGAAGTTGTTAAATACCTGTGGGTTTGATCTGGAGAAGAGGAAAGTTTAAAAGCTATTTCTTGCCTTTAATAAGGAGAGCTGGGTAAGCCTAAACCTTGGCTACCACTGAAGTCAGCTGTTACACATGCATGGTTAAACTTCATTGTAAATATTTCATAAGGGTTATTACAATGTGACATCACAGCCCCAACTGTACCAGAGGAACTATTCCATTAAAATAAGCCAGCATTTCCAAAGAAGCATGGATGTCTTCTATGGCAAAGTTAACATAAGGTCAGAAAACTCTTTGAAGAACTGTCTGCATCAATGTTTATAATTTCTGCAGTTATGGATTTGCAGTTTGTGTGAAAAGAAAAAAAAAATCTCCCAGAGAGATTTTATTTTGGTTAAATAAGACTGGCTTATAAAATAGTCTGTATTCCAAATCCACCCTAACCCAGCATCTTGGCAGCCTTCTGGATAAATAATGTATTTTCCAAAATGTGTGTATTTTTAAAAAGAAGAGGAAAATTAAGTGGCAAACTGTGTCTCCGGGTTGCCATAAACTGACAGAATTCTAGAAACAGAAAGCAGAGACTGATACTTCATTCATTTTTTTCTTGATGCATGGAAGGTTACAGTGAGGAGCAAAATTTACCCTAACTACTTTCATTTTGTTCTTGGGTTTTTTTTTTTTTTTTTTGAGTAAAAGTTTATTAAAGCATGCATTTTTTTGTGTGTGTCACACGAAATATGTATGAGGTTGAGAGGCATTTGGCAGGAAAAAAAAAGATATTCACATTTTGTTAAAAAAAAAAAAAAACCTTAATCCATGCTCACAGATGGTCCTGTTCAGGTGCTATTTTAATTATGAGGTAAAAAGCAGCCCCACACAGTAGGAAGTCATCTTAATAAATGGAGGGGAGCTTTTGTCTTCAACCGTCAAAAAGCCTTGTTACCAAGAAATGTAAATACCGGGTGGGGCGTCTTTGGGGAGAGTCTCCACGCCACCCAGAGACTTGGAGAAAGCAGGAGCCTGGCCACTTCTAAAGGTGAAATGAGAACACTTGAAACGCTTCACAAACCCGGGGACCTGGACTTGCTTAGCCGTGGTCACTTTACTGCTGGCTTTTTCAGAGAGAAGGACCTGACTTGGATGTGTGGACATGTCCGTGGAATCAGAGGGACTATAAACAGAGCTCCCTGCAAGTGCGTTTACAAAATGCTTTAATGCGAGCAGAAGTATTTCTTGACTCTTCTCAAGGCTCCTCGGGCCACCGTGCCCTTCAGGCGGTGGAGAACCGATGGTGATGCATGTGACACAGTAACACGGAAGCAACACAGCCTTCCTATAAAATATTGGTAATATATGATAATGATGTCTTACTGTCTGTGCCTTCGTGGGGAATGATGAGGACCTCATGTTAGGACCCCAATGTCCTGACATAGTTAATTATGCATGGATCATGGTTTGCAGCCATTGCTGTCCTGAGGCATGCAGCTTTGGTTGTGGGGGGCTTAGTAAGCATTTTGCAGACTCAGGTGCACCGCACCTAGGTACTTTCCTACGCAGGAAACAGCTGGGCTTCCGTCACCGTGCTATACATCACATAGGGTGACTCATTTGTTATTGCTAAGCTAATGATGCAAGTGTAAACCTTTATGTCCCCTTCTATATTGTCATAATATATTTGCTGTAGAGATGCTAGCTTGTTTCTCATAAGTAATTAATCTTTCCCTACGCCAAATATAGTACATGAAAATGGGTTAACACAGGGGTCAAAATACATTTAAACCAGTCTGCAGAGGTTAGATGAGAACCCTGGATACAGGGGCAGGTTTTTTCTTTCAAACTGCCTCATCGCGTCTCCAGGATACGCACCCTGGCAATGCCCACATGACTGGGAACTTACTCTACAAAGGAGGCTGTTGGCAGTCCTTTAGGGCTGGGGGCAGGATTCAGAGCTGAACCTGTGCTAAGCACAACAAGCATGGTGACTGCCGTCCGCATTCAGTCCCTTGATGGAGTGGTGTGTTTTTGTGAATGATTGTGGTGGCGAGTTTCTGTTGAAGCTTCGTGTGTAGGTAGGCCCCTGTGCAACCTGCCAGGGCATGCCACAGAGCCTCCGGAAGTGGAATTCACGTGCCCATAAGAAGATACTGTGATACACTGAAAGGACTTTGTATTTTAGAAATTATGTATTTTGCCCTTTTTTTTGTAGTGAGACATTTGACATTTATTCTCAACAATTTTGAAATGAACACTGTATTGTTTTTTTAAGATTGATTTTTTTTATTTGAAAGTGATTGGGGTGGGGGAGGGCAGGAGAGATCTTTCATCTACTAGTTCACTCCTCAAATGCTCACAGCAGCCAGGGTTGGGCCAGGCTGAAGCCAGGAGCATGGAACCCCATCTGGGTCTCCCACATGGATGATGGAGACCCAAATACTTGGGCCATCCTCCACTGCCTTCCCATGAGCATCTGCAGGAAGCTGGATAAGAAGCTGCATAGCCGGGATTCAGCTGCAGCACCCTAACGTGGAATGCAGGCCTTGCAAGCAGAGACTTAACCTGCTGCACCACAACACCCACCCCATACAATACATACAATATGGTAATTGACTGTGGTCTCCTGGCTGTGCCAAAGGTCTCACACACTTCTTCCTCCTGTGTTTTACATTAGATTACAAAAGCATGATCAGCATATTGAATCTGTTGTTCCCAAATCATGTTGTTCAGAACAAGACTGCAATCAATCTTTAAATTTTTTCACTTGATTTAAAGGCTGATGAAATGTAATAATGTCAGTGGTTTGTGGATAGGGATAAAAATCGTGATGGTGCCTTATATCATGAAAGTTTAGGAAATACTGGCCTTACAAAGTGCAGGGGTCCAAAAGCATGTGTCCAGATCATAATTATGTCCTTGATTGCAAAGACGATCATGGTCATTGTATAAGAGTACGTAGCAGCAGCTAACTTCCATGGTGTCTGAAGACCTAGCAAGGTTAGGGACCTCACCCAGGAAGGCACTGATTATAAGTACTCAGGATTTGAACCTAAGCAGTCAGTTCTGGGGTCTTCTTGATAATCATTTCATTTTTCTGTGTCTTGGTGAGTGAAAAAAATATGACTTCTGTGTGTTCTCTAAAGAGGAAAAGCATAAAAACACTGCACATAACGTTGCACATTGCAGCACTGTGCTGTCCACGGCTGGTGAAGGCTCTCTCCTACGCTGCTGACCTGGCACTGCTGACTGCTTCCTTAGTTAGCATCCTGGATGTGTGCTAGGACACATGCCTTGCAACTCAGAATTCTTCATTTGGATTAATGAGGAGGGGGAGAGAGGGAGAGAGGGAGGGAAGGGACAGGGAGAGCAGAACCTTGTTTTTTCAATTACTGCCATAGCCCCTTCTGAATATGTACTACTAGGGGATAAGTAACACATTTCTTGCTGTACAAGGGTCCGTGGAGCAAAAATTCTTTGGCAACTTCCCATATTTCCATACTTAGAAAAGTATCATAATTCTTTTCCACGTTCACTTCAAATATCTGCAAGCAGTGTCTAATCTTGTGGGAAAGCTAAAGTGAAACTCTCTAGCAAATGGCATGGTTATATTCCCAGAAAGAAGAAACAGAGTTAACCTATGAAAATGAATCTTGACTGTTAACAAATGTGCTGAAATGAATGGGAGAACACAGCCCCCAAGACTGAGATGTAGGCAGGAATTGCAGTCTCCTGGGTCCCAGGTCCTAATGCACACATTTGAAGTTCTTCGGTGACTGTTGATTTAAAGTCCCAGGAACAAAGTTCAGACAGGTAAGAATTCTCATACCGTCTCCTCTGATATTTTTCCGAGCCAGAGTGCCGGGTTTTCTTAAGGAGTGTTTATGACTAGCTCCGTGGCACAGGGAACGCTGACTTGGGAGAGGCGTCAGCATGTGGAGAAATGGGTCATTGGAGCACTTGTAAAACCCGCCCAGTGCATGCTTCCAAGCCAGCCTCCCCACGGGCCCAGAGTCATCACGAACAGTCACTTGAGAACTGTGAGATGCTCAAAGAGGAAAATTGCAGAACAAAATGGGTTCAAAAGAATTTATACTTTTGTCACTTCAGGTTGAAGCCAGGGGCCAAAACTTGAATCTCATACCATTGTGTTCTATAACCGTTTAATTTGCTAACCAGACTTAACTGATCAGGACCTGCAGCCACTGCCTCCTCTTCCTCCTCCTCCCCCTCCTCCTCTTCTTCCTCCTCCCCCTCCCCCAGCATAATCAAAACAAGAAGCAGTGGGCTCTGCAGCGTCAGTGTTGTCTATCTTTTATTGTCCAGCCTCACCATGTTCATTCTGGCAGGCTGAGATGAAACAGAAAGCTGATATTTGGAGCCACTGGAATTGCAGGCCTTGTAATTTAGAAATATCCATTTTATCCCGTGTAATTTCTTCCCTAAGATTCCTCAGTCTAAATCTGATACAGGTAGGAGCCAAGACAAACAGTAACCATTTATAGTCACCCAGACCAGTTTGAATTTCACTCTAATGTAAAGCAAAAAGAGTTTTTGGCTTCATTTCAGGTGTGTAACAGGGGTAGAAAATGCATTTAAAATTTTGCAGCAAATGTTACCATATGTTTCCATAACAACTGCAAACTTTTATGTTAGAAAAGCAATAATATAAACACGTAGGAATCTTGGAACAGTAAACTATTAATTTACCAAATATAAAAAAAAATCCAGCATGAAGGGGCTTTTACAGCCACAGAAGCCAGGAGGGGCCCAGCATCCTGTGAATTTCTCCATTATGTGGCAGAAAATGCCGCCGGTTAGTTTAAATGAGCAAATCTTTTAAAATTATAGGGACAGCGTCAATTCTCCGCAGTGCATTTTCCTGAAACAATGTGTAGTGGTGCCAGCCATGGCTGATTTTTTTCACCACACCGAACTAGTAAAATGCCCTTTAGTAGCTGCCCTGATGCACATCTGTAAAACAACTGTAGTTTGTGTGTGTGTGTGTGTGTGTGTGTGTTTCCCTCCTTCACCCAGAGCTTCAAACCATGAAGAAGGCTCAGGGTCCCTGCAGAAAGTGTAGGGCCCAGGAGCTGGCTGTAATGGTTGGCACGGAATATGTGTTCATACACTGTTTACACATGTTGATGAGGTCCCCAGTTTCCCCCACGTACCCATTTTGTAATATTAAAAAGGGGACAAGGGGACAACCGGATCGACCTAACCACATCTTGAGAATGAGCAGTTCATCAATAGAATTATTGAAATCATCACCAAGGCAACATCAGTCTTCTCTTCTTCTCTCTGTGGCCAAGAGATGAGTCTACTTGTAAGGGATGTATTAGAAACATGGTGATTTGGGGCTGGGGCTTTCCTTTGAAAAGGTGCATGTATTTTGTTTTGTCCCTAAACCTATCTCAGAGTGTGCCTAGGGTTTTTGAGACTTTTCCCTTTTTATTTTTTTTTTAAGTGTTCATTTGTTTATTTGAAAGGCCGAGTGACAGACAGAGACATTGAGATCTTCCTTCCATTGGTTCACCTCCCCAAATGCCTGCAAAATCTGGGGCTGGGCCAGGCCAAAGCCAAGAGCCTAGAACTCCATCCCAGCCTGCACATGGACTCAAGAAGTTGAGCCATCATCTTCTGCCTCCCAGGGTGTGCAATAGCAAGAACCTTGATAGGAAGCAGAGGCAGGATGAGACCCCAGGCACAGCAAACCCAGCTATGTTACTTTCTCATTCAAAGGTAAGCAGAGGCACCTTGGCCAGTCCTGGGCCATGGGTTAATGATGTAACTACCATTGAACATATGATCAGTGAAAAGTTAAGTTACAGAGAAGTGGCGGAACTAAAAATCAGATATAGGACTCCAAGGGGTACGTTAGGAAGTGCTCTGATATGGAGACAAGGTAGAGATAGGGGCAAAACCCTCAGAAGGTCTAGTAAAGAGAGCTGTGTTTCAGCTGGGTCAGGATTTCACCGTGGCTTCTGCTTGGCCTTCAGTCTAGAACGCGCAGTCTAGGCCTTCTTCAGTCTAGAACGCGCAGGCTGCCGAGCCCGAAATGATTCATCCACCAGGGTGCTGGTGAAGTAGGGCTCTCAGTGTTATCAGCCAGAGGAGGAACTGAAGCTAATGTCTAAGGAGCCTGTGTGAGTCGGAGAAAATTTGGCCAAGCAGGAGTAAGAGTGAGAGGCATGACTTAGGCTGGCAGAGGTCAGGTTGGTAACACAGAGATGCTTTGGGAAGACCTCTTTCATTCCCGAGTCCTTGGTGGGCCTCTTTTTTAGACCAGAAACCTAAAATTTTACCTGAGTTGTCACCGTCTCTAATTGGGCCGTTAAGAGCATTTCTCATATTCCTGTCAATTCTTTTTTTTTTTTAATATTTTATTCATTTGAGAGAATTACAGAGAGAGGTAGAGACATAGAGAGAAATCTTCCATCTGCTGGTTCATTCCCTAAATGGTCGCAACAGCCACAGCTGAGCCAATCTGGAGCCAGGAGCCTCCTACAGGTCTCCCATGTGGTTATAGGGGCCCAAGGACTAGGGTCATCCTCCACTGCTCTCCCAGGTACATTAGCACAGAGCTGGATCAGAAGTGGAGCAGCTAGGACTCGGCGCTGCAACACTACTGGTACTGTAGGCCAGGGCTTTAACCTGCTGCACCGGGCCACTTCTTTTTTTTTTTTTAAGATTTTATTTACTTACTTAACAGAGTTACAGACAGAGGGAGAGGCAGAGAGAGACCTCTCACTATTCATTCACTCCCCAAGCGGCCGCAACTGCTGGAGCTGGGCCTATCTGAAGCCAGGAACCAGAATCTTCTTCTGTGTCTCCCACATCAGGGGCCCAAGTAGTTGGGCCAATTTCCACTGCTTTCCCAGGCCATAAGCTGGATCAGAAGTGGAACAGTCAGGGGCTGGCGCTGTGGTGTAGCAGTAAAGAGGCCATCTGCAGTACAGGCATCCTATATGGGCACTGGTTCGAGTCCCAGCTGCTCTACTTTCAATCCAGCTCCCTGCTATGGCCTGGGAAAGCAGTGGAAGACAGCGCAAGTCCTTGGGCCCCTGCACCTGCGTGAGAGAAGCTCCTGGCTCCTGGCTCCATATGGGTGCAGCTCTGGCAGTTGCAGCCATCTGGGGAGTGAACCAACAGATGGAAGACCTCTCTCTCTCTGCCTCTGCCTCTCTGTAACTCTGGCTTTCAAATAAATAAATCTTAAAAAAAAAAAAAAAAGAAGTGGAACAGCCAGTATACAAACTGGTGCCCATAAGGGGTGCTGGCACCACAGGTAGAGACAAACTACTATGCCACAGCATCGCCCCTTCTTGTGTTCCAGGGTACTTATGCTAGAAAGCATCTCTTTAGGCAGTAATGCCATTGGAGTCTAGCATTGATCATGTGGATCTTTACTATGTGTCTAACCATCCAGTATGGATAGTTAAGAAGAAAACAATCCCTGTTTACTCATTTCAGAAGTATTTATTCCTACTATGCAAAACTATTCAGACAAGAGTACATGAAAGCCCCAGCCTGTGTCTTATGCTGGTGGAGCTTATAGTCTAGTGGCAGGGGCCAGACAAAAAACAAGTAAACAAATAACACCAAGGAAAACCATGTCAGATAGGGATACATGCTGTGGGCAAAGAGGAAGGGGTTGGTGAGTGGGGGCTGGGGCACAGAGCTCTTGGGGAAAGGCCCTGAAGGGATCTCCTGGGAAGCCTGTGTGAGTGGAAAGGGAAGAGAGGGACCCTGTGACCAAAACAGTGACTGAGGGAGGCAGGAGGGGTCAGATCTAAGGCTTCATTTCTCATGGTGTTAACTAAGAGTAAAAATTTAATAGGGGAGCCAGCACTGGGACGTAATGGGGTAGGCTGCAGCCTGCCATGCGGGCATCCCGTATGGGCGCCAGTTGAAGACCTGGCTGCTCCACTTCTGATTCAGTTCCCTTCTAATGCGCCTGGAAAGCAGTAGAAGATGGCCCAAGTGCTTGGGCCCCTGCACCAACGTGGGAACCCGGGAGAAGCTCTCGGCTCCTGGCTTCTGATGGGCCCAGTTCCAGCCCTTGTCGCCATTTGGGGAATGAACCAGCAGAGGGAAGATATTCTCTCTCTCTCTCTCTCTCTCTTTCTTCTCCTTCTTCTCTCTGTAACTCTGCCTTTCAAATTAAATAAAATAAATCCTTAAAAAAATGAGAATGGGAGGAGGAGGAAGAAAAAGGGTGGTAGTATGGGCAGGAAGGAGGTAGGGTGGGAAGAATCACTGTGTTCCTAAATTTGTATATATGAAATGCATGAATTTTGCATTCTTTAAATAAAATTTTAAAAAAAGAATCCAAAATCCATTTACAAAGTTATTTGAAAATGTGTTCCCACTGTATATGAGGAGCTATGGAAAGCAGTTCTTCCAATCAAGGTTGTTACAGTTTAGAGGTTGGAAAGCAGACATAATTGATGGTGAGACAAATGCAAAATTAAGTGGAAATGGCCATAACTAAATCATGAGCTCTTTGAAGTAGTCATTATGAGTTGAGAAAGTGTTTATGGAAAGAAAGAGGAAATCAAAATGAAGCTAAAAAGCTATTGAACACCTACTATGTGCTGATCCTTTATAGGTGTTTTTATATTTATTTCTTAAGGTAACCATTCAAAAGTAAGTGCCATTTCACCATTTTATAGATGATGAAATTGAATTCCAAGAAAGTTAAATAAAGACGGGTATCAGCTCCAACCCATTTTAATATGTTAGAACAGAAACAAAACCTCAAAACTAAAATAAAAAGGCCAGGTATTCAGCATAGCAGTTAAGACACCTGCAACTGAATTTGATTCCTGGCTCTCCTGACTTTAGCTTCCTGCTAATGCAGACCTTGGGAGGCAACGTTGATTGGGTTCCTGCCGCCCACATGGGATTCTGGCTTCTGACCCTGGACCTGGCCCACCCCTAGCCATTGCAGGTATTTAAGGAATGAACCAGTGGTTGAGCACACGCTTTCTCTCACCTGTCTCAAAAACTTAAAATTTTATATACATATATATATACATATATATATATGCTTTTGAATATCTCTGATATTTCCCCCTCTCTTTCTCTCATTGATATGCTAAAATGTCACACACACACGCACACACATGCACACATGCACACATGCACACACACACACGATCCATGTGCTTGTTTTTAAAGATATGGAAAGGGGCCGGTGTCATGACTTACTTGGTTAATCCCCTGCCTGCAGTACCGGCATCCCATATGGGTGCCAGTTCTAGTCCTGGCTGTTCCTCTTCCAGTCCAGCTCTCTGCTGTGGCCCTGGAAGGCAGTGGAGGGTGGCCCAGGTGCTTGGGCCCCTGCAACCACATGGGAGACCGAGAGGAAGCACCTGGCTCCTGGCTTCGGATCGGCACAGTTCTGGTTGGAGTGGCCATTTGGGTGGTGAACCAATGGAAGGAAGACCTTTCTCTCTGTCTCTCTTTCTACCTGTCAAATAATAATAATAATAATAAAAAAACAGGAAGAAAACATTTATGAAATTAAAAAAAAAAAGATATGGGGAAGGAGCAGAATTCTAGGGATATTGTGACCTATTAGGAATCCAGCCTTTGGAAGAAAATCCTCTTAAATAGAACAGGTTATGGTAGCTATGCTATGCTATGCTATGCTATGCTATGCTATGCTATGCTATGCTATGGCACGGAGAGCAGACCTAGTCCTGTGGGAGGAGAGGAGAATTCACAGAAGAAGTAGGTGCCAGGTGTGACCTTGTAGGGTTGAGCAGTGCACTCAGGTGGAAAGACCCTGAAGACATTGAAATGTAGACCACACCATCACCAGTGTAGTTCCTGGAGACAAGTAGAAACTATGAGAGGAGGCATCACATAGCTGTGAAACACACCTACATTTTCCTCTTTGGTTTTAGAAGTAAAACCACCCCATTTAAAATGTGTTTCCATTACATGTAGACATCTGCTTCAGGAATCTTTTCCTTAGACTATTGTTTGAGGCATGTCCCCAGGTGCAGGTAAGGGTTGCGTGTAAGATAACCCTTTTTCACTTGAGGGAATATCCCAGTAAAAGTCCTCTGGCTTCAGCTGGGCTGGCATGTCTGACAGACGTGTAAACAGATGCAACCATTGTTGCTAATGACAGGTGATTATAAGAGGCATGGGGGCCAGGGTAATTAAACCACAATTTGACAGGAACATTTGGCAATGTACTATTTCAGCATCCGAAATATCTTTGCAGTGTGCTTCCCCCATTGGCTTGGTGACTGTCATTCATTTTTATTCTGCATTGTGGTGCTTTGAGATCCGACAGTGTTCTATCCAGTTCCTTCATGGTTTGTTGTAGGGCTCCAGAAAATGGACCGAGTATCCAAGACTCTGCCCCAGGCCTGCTGTGGTGCAGCAGCAGGAATCGGGTCTGTGACCTATTGCTGCGATTGTTTTGGACATATTACTAAGTCCGGTTTGGTGGGCGTAATGCCCTTTGGAGAGAAATATGAATTGTGTTCATATCACTGTGATTTTAGCTTCTCTGTTACCTGGATTTACCTGATGTTGTCCCCATAGATCAAAAGACAGCTTATTTGATTTTCCTGTCCCCTAAATTGCTACTACTGAAAGAAGGGAAAAGATCTCAAGTTACCAGTAATCTGTTGTTATGTGGGATGAGAGTAGAAATGGTTCATTTCTACTAAAACGTGGAATTTATCCATATATTCCTTAGATTAGAATGCAAATTAAAAAAATACATTATTTTTACTATCAGGATACTTAGCAACATTTGAAGACTACCTCCTGCTAACTGCTAGTTATGCAGTTAACTCATGGTTATGTCTTTGCTGGGGGTGGGGGTTCCTATCTTGTATTGGATAAGTCATGGACCATCATGGACTCAACCTGTGTGGTTTTGACTACTGGTGGTCTTGTGAACATAGTAATGTGGTCTCATCTAGTAAAATGGTGGCTACTACTGACTATTTTTTAAAAAGATTTATTTATTTGAAAGGCAGAGCTACTGAGAGGTGAGGGTGGGGGGAGGTGTCTTCCATCTGCTGGTTCACTCCACAAATGGCTGCAACTGCCGGAGCTGGGCTGATCCGAAGCCAGGAGCCAGAAACTTCTTGGTCTCCCACGTGGGTGCAGGGGCCCAAGGACTCGGACCATCTTCCGCTGCTTTCCCAGGCCACAGCAGAGAGCTGGATCGGAAGTGGAGCAGCCGGGACTAGAACCGGTGCCTGTATGGGATTCCTGCACTGCAGGTTGCGGCTTTGCCTGCTACTCCACAGTTCTGGCCCCCACCATGGACTATTTATTGTGGTCCTGGCACCGGTCTAAAATGAGCACCTTGCCCAAGAAGAGTGCCATAAGTTGGCCTCTCAGGATTCTTGGTATAGAATGTACCTGGCTAGCTTCAGAGATCGGTGAAGCCGAGCTTTCGGTGAAGGCCAGCTACAGCCCTGATAGCTGTCTCTCTCTCTCAGCCTCTTGTGATTTCTCCAGGCGGGACGTAGAAGGAAATGAGCTTTTGGGTGCAGTTTTGCTTAACCCACAAGAGAGCCGAGCCACTGTGACTACTGCCCCTCCCACGTGGAAGACTGGCGGCCACCTCCTTACTGCATCGGGCAGCCTGGGAAGCCCGCGGCCGGCTTTTACATTCTGCTCCAGGCTGCCGTCAGTTTCTAAGCAGAGGCTTTTTTAAAGCTTTGTCAGTTAGGTTAAAAGGTGTTCCACCCCCGGTGTATAAAAGAGAGAGCGAGAGATTAAACTCACTAAGCCTGCCATGTTCTCTGTAAAATATCAAGTCAAAATGATTTTTAAATCCAAAGTTACTAGGCTTAGGGGGTGTGACCTTGAGTGAAAGCAGCCTCGGAACTAGGGAGGAGAGATCTGTGCAAAAGACAATTGGCCCAGAGGCTGGTGGCCTCGGGAAAGCTACTGAAGCCAAAGCGAATTTGTCTTCTTTCTCTGCCTCTTGGCCAACCTAGCACTAACCCCATGTAAATACCCAGCCTGACTCCCAGGCCTCTGAATTCCACACAGCAAGCCTTTTGCAGAGCGCCTGCTTACTGCAAAGCCTGGGCCAATCTCCAGGCCGTTCCGGGGATAAATAAGACAGGGGCTGTGCCCTTGGGAGGCTTAACGTCAGGTGAGTACCGCTAGGAATTAAAAGTCTCATTCAGCCCCTGCTAGGGCGTTCAGCTGCGGTGCGTGCTTGGCCAGCTTGTTTCATCCTAAAGAGTAAGAGTACTCGCTAGTCCCCATTGGGTGCTTCTCTGTGCCCGGTACTTTGGAAGTGCTTTATGTGAATGAACGACTATCGCCATGGTAGGTATTTTTGTCACGCCTGATTTTTTTTTTTTTTTTTTTGACAGGCAGAGTGGACAGTGAGAGAGAGACAGAGAGAAAGGTCTTCCTTTGCTGTTGGTTCACCCTCCAATGGCTGCTGCGGCTGGCGCACTGCACTGATCCGAAGCCAGGAGCCAGGTACTTTTCCTGGTCTCCCATGGGGTGCAGGGCCCAAGCACTTGGGCCATCCTCTACTGCACTCCCTGGCCACAGCAGAGAGCTGGCCTGGAAGAGGGGCAACCGGGACAGAATCCGGCGCCCCGACCGGGACTAGAACCCAGTGTGCCGGCGCCGCTAGGCAGAGGATTAGCCCAGTGAGCCACGGCGCCGGCTTGTCACGCCTGATCTTAAGAGGGAAACTTCCGGTGGAAAAGACCTCAAGGACCTTTTCCCAGGGGCACGAGGCTGGGAGGCAGAGGAGCTGGGGTTCCGAACCACAAAGTCCGGTTCTAGAGCCCAGGCTCTATGCTCGTGGTACTCTGATGTTAGCATCCGAATCGCCATTTGGGCTTGTGAAACACAGACTGCAGGTGTTGGGAGTTCTGCATTTTGACGCTCTCAGGTGATGCAGATGTCCATAGCTCTGTGCCAAGTGGAGAGAGAGCCATGGAAGCCTGTTCCTGTATAATACAAGGCAAAAGGGAAATACCCCATGACAGTTATAAACGGAATGCTCTGAGAATACCAACAGCCACGCAGCAGTGATATCATTGATTATTGTTGTTGTCATGACAGCTAGCGTTTCCGGAGAGCTTGCTCTGTCCTAGGCGCTGTTTTGTAATCCTGTAACCATCGTAGCTGTCACTCTGGGCTAGCTCGTCTAACCCATATGACATCCCTGTGAGTTAGGTGCTCCTGTTATCCCATTTGCCTGCTGAGGAAACTGGGCAGAGTTCCTAAACCTGCCTACATGAAGCCAGCCCAATTCCAGCAGCTAAGCTCTTAGCCACTAAGAGAACAAGGAAGAGCCATAGGGAGTCAGAGGCGCATCTAATGTAGTACTTGGGGCAGCCCCTGAAGAGGAAAAGGGTGCAGGGAAGGCTTCCCAAACGGAAGGGATGTGTGCAAAGGCCCGGGGCATAAAAGCACATGGTATGATGGGAAATGAGTAACAGTGGAGATTTCTGGGTAACCCACATGGCAAGAAATGAAGGCTGGTAAGGCTGGAAAACAAGGTTGACTAACCTTGAGAATGAGGAGTTGATGATGCTCAAGACTGAACGTTGAGCTTCCGAGCACCTTGTGAGGGGCGCCCCCTCGCTCAGAACTCACCTCTGACGACCTGCAGGCAGAGTGGCAGCACTGTTCTTTGTTCAAGATGCTGTGAGGCCTTCTCTCCTCTGCCTTGCATGACCTGGAAGTCCCCATATCCGCTCAGAGGACAGTTGGGTTTCCAAGGTTAGCGAACCTGGAACAGTGAGTCAGACGCTGCTAGGGGAAAGATGTTTTGAACACGGCCACCTCACACACAGATGAGAATGTGTGTGCATGTCGGTGAGCGTGTGTGTGTGTGTGTGTGTGTGTGTGTATAAGTCCATCCATGGAGTGCCCTTGGAAGATGCCTGCTGTGGCGCTGGTGCCGCGGTATCATTGGAGCTGCCAGTTTGTTTTATTTCTGATGCCGCCCGGCAGCCCCTGAAGGAGGGGAAGCATGAATTCCTCTCTCCCGTTTACTAGACTTTCATTATATTGTGCTTACAACCACAGTGTGAGCACATAAAATGTTAAACATCAGCGGGCGGAAAGAGGCTCCCGTTGTCTTTCCTCTGTCGCCGGGGGACTCTGGCGAGCTTTGCGGGGCTGCTGCTGTCAGTGTCACATGACATGAAGCATTGCTCAGTAACGACAGACATTGAATATGAGTGACAGGCACTCTGACCACAAGGAATGGGTTCAATTACCAGAGATGGCGGGTTACCTGGGATCAAACCAAAGGGCCCAATTGTGCTTGGTTTTGACCCCTTGACTCCCAGATCCCGAGCCGCAAAGACAAATGGCTGATTAACCAGCCCCCTAACCCTCTTTTTTCAGTGATAAACTTGTTTGGATTTCCCTGTCCGGGGTAGGGAGGGGAAAAAAAAAATCTGTGTGTGGCGCGTTTCTGAAGGTAACACGATCAGAAAGCGGCAGGGTGGGGGTGAGCCATTTCTGTCTCTCACAAGCACAGAACTGAAAACTGTCATTCTATCTTGGAATGGATCTAGGACAGTGTCCAGAAATCAATACAAGATAAATGATTGCTCTCTTAACCCCACCTTTCTTCTGCTGCAGTGGTTACATCGCTCCCGTTCACCTGGAGCCAAGCTGACGCCAGGGTAGATGAGAGATCCTGCCATCACAAGCTCGCCTGTTCCCTCCCTCCTGCCGGCGGTTCTGCCGAGCACCGAGCGCAGCACTGTGCTTGTTTACAGTCCACTACTTGTAGCCCCCAGATAAAGTCATAGCGAGCTGCCCAATTAAACTGTCGCAGGCCGCCCTCACTTGACTCGCTCCGCAGAGTCATTTAGGCAACAGACATTCCTGACTATTAAAGCCAGTACCAGCATGTCTCCAGTGCTGGAGATAAAATGAATGAAATTTGTTATTCTGGACTGACACTTGATCCCAGCTGTTGAACTCATGCTATTGCACCTGAAGTTTTTCTTTATGGTAATTGCTGTCTGTGTTATTATTTCATATACTAAATTGGGGAAAATTGCAACAGGTATTAAATTCTTTGAGCTAATTCATGGGAGTTTCATTGTGCATTCTTCCAAGGTGGATTCCACCTTCTGTTCGAGGCTGGAAAAATGGATTTTGCCAGCCAGATGCACTGGCTTGTGTTTCATTATTATCAGAGACATTCCAATTTTAGGTCTGGTCAGGCATTTATCAGCTTTCCCTGAAATCTGTTTTCAAATATACCTCGGCTCCTAAATCAGTCAGCATCTGTTGGGGACTGCCCCAAGGAATTCAGTGATGATGACCGACACCGACAGTGATTTGCGCCCGTCTGGTTGATCCGAGACAGACTTGGTGGTATCTCTCGCTGTGTGTATGCTCAGGAGGACGGCCAGTATGAAGTGGGTCGTCCCACTGGGCACCGTGGGAGTCCCCAGCTCTAACGGGGACTGCTTGAGCAGCTCGTGTGGTGGCTCTCCAGTGGGAACTCATTGGAACAAGTCTGCAGAAGGTACGATGCCTTCCAGCCTCCCGGTGCATCGCAGTCACCTGACCTCACTGTCTCCTCATCTGTAACCTCCTTCTCCAGCTCTCTGCTCAGTCAGAGGAGGTCATTGCAGAGTCTGCATAGTGGCATATGAGCCGTATTTAGAGTGTGGTGCAATCCCCAAAGCCTCTGTTTCGGTAGCAGATAACACGGGAGAGCAGTTCTTCCACAGCATATTCACTGTGTGCTTAAAGTCAAGGGCAAAGGCTCCAGGAAGGACCCAGAGGAGAAATCAGGTCCAGTTAGTAGGGGCAGTACCATGTGTGCTGTCACATTAAGGCTTTGGGGGAGACAGTAACCCCAATCAAAATGGTAATTTCTATCTGAAGACCACACCTGAAAGACCTAAGCAGGGATTGGTCTACTTGGGGGACATACTATCACCAGTAGAATCCCAGGGTTTTATCACATCCACACCAGGAAGCAGTTAACAGACTGTATTCCATATATCTTTTAAGAGATGTATTTATTTGAAAAGGCAGAGTTACAGGCAGAGAGAGAGAGAGAGAGAGAGAGAGGTCTTCCATCTGCCGGTTCACTCCCCAAATGGCTGCAATGGCTGGAGCTGGGCTGGATCTTCTTCCGGGTCTCCCGCATGGGTTCAGGGGCCCAAGGACTTGGGTCATCTTCTGCTGTTTTCCCAGGCACATTAACAGAGAGCTGGATCAGAAGTGGAGCAGCCAGGACTCGAACCCATGCCCACGTGGGAAAAAATATGGGTCGGCCCAGTGTATTCCATATTTTGATGAAAGCAAAATGTGAGAAACTTGAGCCTGAAAGTAAGGGAAAGCAGACATAGGACTTTGTGATTATATTTGATTTATTGCTCTACTCTCATCTACCAACAGACTATTTTATGGCTCCTCTAAAACAAGGACCTGGGAAGCCCATTTAAAAAGTCATGCTGTGGTGGGGGTGGCCGGTGCTGTGGCATAGCAGGTAAAGCTGCCACCTGCAGTGCTGGCATCCCCTACAGGAGCCAGCTCAAGTCCTGGCTGCTCCATTCTGATCCAGCTCCCTGCTATGCCTGGGAAAGCAGCAGAAGATGGCCCAAGTCCTTGGGTCCCTGTACTCATGTGGGAGAGCTGGAAGAAGCTGCAGACTCCTGGCTTTGGATTGGCTCAGTTCTGGCCATTGCTGCCATTTGAAGTAAACCAGAAGCTGGAAGACCTTTCTCTGTGTCTCTACCTCCACTTTTCTTGCAACTCTGCCTTTCAGATAAATAAATCCTGTAGAAAAAAAAGTCATCAGAAAATCCTACTCATGTGCTTTCTTAATGTAAACATCTGTGCTTTGAATGATAGTGTCTGGTATTAGCTTATGATGGAAGATTTCTGTTGTACTTAGAAGCTGAAGTCTGGCCAGTGCCGCAGCTCACTAGGCTAATCCTCCACCTGCGGCACCGGCACCCCGGGTTCTAGTCCTGGTCGGGGCGCCGGATTCTGTCCCAGTTGCCCCCCTTCCAGGCCAGCTCCCTGCTGTGCCCGGGAGTGCAGTGGAGGATGGCCCAAGTCCTTCGGCCCTGCACCCACATGGGAGACCAGGAGAAGCACCTGGCTCCTGGCTTCGGATCAGCACAGTGCACCGGCCATGGCACACTGGCCACAGTGGCCATTGGGGGGTGAACCAACGGAAAAAGGAAGACCTTTCTGTCTGTCTCTCTCTCTCACTGTCCACTCTGCCTGTCAAAAAAAAAAAGAAACTGAAGTCTGTAGTTTGTGGGGCCTCAAACATACCCAAGGTATGGTGGTCTGGGTTATTTCTGATGTTCATAAGCTTTGTTTAAGTAAATTGTTTTGAAATTCAAATCTGCTAAAATTGAATTACTGTAATTTATAGCAAGGTTCAGCATGAGAAATCTGTATTTTCTTTCCCAACTGAGAAATTGAAAGAAGTATTAGTCTTTCATTGATACATGAGATGTATAGAGTTTGTATGGAGTATCAAGTATAAAATTTATTTTTAAATCCTAGTAGATTTATTTTCCCACCTTCAAATCCAATAGCAAGAACTGACATTTTCATCTAAAGTAAACTAAGATTAGTCGTTGTTCTATATTCTGAAATTACCCAATGTACAACAGTTTTAGGTATTTTAAAATGATGTATCCACAGGCAAACAGTGATTTGCTCCCAGAGGCCCTTCAGATGTGCATTCATTCTTGTCTTTGATATTTGAGGGTCCTAATGCTATCATAATAACACATGTAAAAGTTGCCATACAGTAACTGCAAGTTTGCATTTCTTGCCCAAAACTAATTCTTCATATTTCTCTCAGTGTTTGTCCAGCAAAAGTGGTAGCTCTACTCTCTAAATCTTACCTGAACTTAATGTTTATATTTTTTGTTGCTCTTGGGTGCTAGACAATTTGAGCTGTTTTGTGTGGATTGCGTGGAAAGCATGGTGGAGAACTCAGCACATAAAGCCTTTGTAAGAGCTTGTTTGGAAGCTATCTATGTTAACAGTCTACTTAAAATAAGAGTCAGACTTTGGAAGATTCCTGACGTAGGGGCAGCAGAGAAAATGACCGAGTTTTGGACTCTCAAAAGGCAAAATCACAAGAAAACCACACCCCTTCTCTGTGGTACTCGTAAACCAAACAGCTATCTCCGAGGGGACTTCAAGAAGTTCGTTGAATAAAAATATGTTGACTTTGACACACAGGAAAATGAAAGCCAGGCATACAAAGCATCTCCAGAAAGGTCGTGAAAAATGGTATTATGAGAAAAACTATGCACGGATCTCAAAAAAAAATTTTTTTTACACCAAAATGAACTCATCTTTGAATTCCATTTCCATTTCCCACGAACTTTTTGAAGTACCTTTGAACAGACAGGTCACTAAAGTAAAAAGATTCGTTAAGACGGCAGCTATTTGGATGAGGTGAGAATAATGCATAAACAGGAAGTGATTCCTGAATGTTAAGACGGCAGCTATTTGGATGAGGTGAGAATAATGCATAAACAGGAAGTGATTCCTGAATGTTTATCTTGCAAACCCTGAAACAATCCCTTTCTTTTCTCTTACACTCACATTTAGGGAGCATCAGACCCTGCACTAAGTGTCGTGGAGTCACTGTAACTTTTTCATGCCTTTCACACATTCACTGAGGTAGGATATTCTCACTCTACCAGTGAAGGAAGTAGGACTCGCAAGGCTGAAGTCATGACTCTCACTGGCCATTTATTAAGACATTTTGCAAGGTAGAAATTGAACCTGGGTCTGATGCTTCTAAAATCATATTCCCAGTTTAGGTTGGTCAGAACTTGTATGTTTCTCTGTGAAATTAATTGCTCTTATCTGGGAAAGTAATAGAACTTTCAGCAAAGAAGTTCAAGCAAGCTGCTGAAATCCTTCATATCGTTTTCCCTGAAAAATGTTCATGTAGTCCTAGGCTTTTAGTCACTACCATGAAAAATAAACCCTGCCAGGATATTAATACACACACATACACATATTTCTTAAAATTTAAACTTGAAACCAGTGTTCGAAGTGTGGATGATGCAGAATTGGTTGAACAGACGTGGTCCTTACCATGTGGATCCTAGTAGGTCCTTGCCCATGCTAGGGATCAGCAAACATTTTCCTTTTAAAAGTCCAGATGGTAGGGGCCAGTGCCGTGGCTCACTTGGCTAATCCTCTGCCTACAGCGCCGGCATCCTTTATGGGTGCTGGGTTCTAGTCCCAGCTGCTCCTCTTCCAGCCCAGCTCTCTGCTGTGGCCCGGGAAGGCAGTGGAGGATGGCCCAAGTGCTTGGGTGCCTGCCCCCGCGTGGGAGACCAGGAAGAAGCACCTGGCTCCTGGTTTCAGATCAGCATAGCTCTGGCCGTAGCAGCCATTTGGGGGGTGAACCAATGGAAGGAAGACCTTTCTCTATGTCTTTCTCACTATCTGTCAAATAATATATATATATATATAAAAGTCCAGATGGTAAATATTTTAAGCTTTGTAGGCCATACGGCCTCTGTCACAGCTGTTCTCTGTTGTAGTGCAAAAGCAGCTATGGACAACATGCAAATGAGTTTCAATAAAACTTTATTTACTAGAACAGGTGGCAAGATTTGGTTCTCAGGCTGTGGTTTACCAGCCCCTGGCCTCAGCCGTGTGGAAGGATTATGTTTAAGGGACCTGAACACAGCAAATATTTTATCCTTTCATTTATTAGTAGTTTATGTAGATTATGTATTTTGGGGGCTGAGAAAGAGAGATGTTCTTTTTGTGCAACTTGAAGCTCTGTTCACTGGCTTGTGTTTAAAATTTTTGAAAAAATAAATCTCTTGTTTAAGCACATGTTAAATATGTCCGTGTTCTTTCCATTAAATATTTTGGTTGCCTTCCCAGACTTTGAATTGCAGTGAATTTATCCCCTAAAGATGTTTGGTATCAATTCTCAAGACGCAATTTGAATGTAGTCTGTTTCTATAATGGAAACAAGATCCCAAATCTTCATTATTTAAGTCCCTTAGAAAATAGCAAATTGCTGAATTGGTTATTCGTCAGCACTGTTGAGGTATACTGAATCCTTTGTTCTCTTGTTTTACAGCTTTGTGTCAGTTCAAAGGATAAAATGGTATGAAGATTTCATTTTAGGGCTACCTGTGAGGTATTAGATTATGGTTTTCTGACTGAATCATGATAAACTCCTGATGTGGTCAGCTAAACAGGTTCCTGGTCACACAGGAAGCAACTTTCACAACATGGAGGACCGCAGGGACAGGCCGGAGGTCCAGGGGGCTCATGGATCCTAACCTATGGGATGGAAGAGGGAGAAAGGGTTCATCCTTCCTCTGGTGAACAGAATGAAGTCCCCCCACCCACCCACTAGAATTTTCCATCAGGAAAAACAACCAAGAACAGCAGCTTGTGAGTCCCAGAATCATTTACCCTAACAGTTGTAGTAGTTTCCTTGTTACTCCATTCGTATGGTCGTGAGTCGTTTTTATAAAACAGCTCATTGTGTTATCATCACGTGATTGCGATTAGGGGCCTCGACACCTTTGGCAGAAGGAATTTCGTTGAAGTACTCATGGTGGTTATTATTCAGCTGGGTGGTATGTTTGGGTAGTTCGCATTTCTCTCTCAAACCCCTCATAAAGGTGGAAACGGTATCCTCACCTCACTCACCCAAAGGCATTGTGTTGAAGGAGGCAGATGTAGGCAGAAGTTGCATTCTTAAAATGTCAGCTTCCTCGCTCCCTGCCTGAGTGTCTGCTGGCTCCCAGGCTTCCTACCACTAAAGGTACTTGTGTTCTCTTGATTTACCCAACATTGGGCCTAGAAAACGCTTTAGTTATCCTAATTCATCTTGCCTGTGCTTTTTAGTGCTACACAGCCTTCGGCAGTGGCAAAAGCATGAGTTTTGCAGTTGAGATCCCGTTCGTTATCTTAGATGAACCCTTTAGCTTCCTCGACCTTCAGTCTCTTCTTGTGTGACATCGGAAGCGTAATTTGGAAACTTAATGAGGATGTATGTTTAAGAGCTTTGCAGATTGTGCTCATCGTAGTTTTTTTGTTTTTTTTTTTTTTTTTTAATTATTTAACTACCTGGCCCTGCCTTGTGTAGGAGAATCCTCTACCATATTAACAGAGTTAAATCCACAGTGCATCCTTCATCTCAAAGCAGTCTCTGTGGAGTTGCTCTTGTGAGAAGCGGCTTAATTATGACAGAATGCCAAAGGGCGCTGTTTCCTTTGTGTTGAATAAATGGCACCCCAGAAACACAACAGCAAATAGTAAAATCAGCGATGACAAGTCCACGCAGCCGCCTCTCTAACTTCTGATTTGGGGCTCTTCGAGACTACCGTGTGCTCTCTCAGCCTATACCATTTTAATACACAGGGCAGATCTTTATTAGCACTCTCAGAATCTTTGTGTTGATCTTGGCTTCAGCTGCTCTGCAGAACAACCTCCTTCCAGGACTCCCTAAAGTAAATTTTATATTTGCCAATTAGCGTGTATTTAGAGTCGGACCAAGCCAAGAAGAGTCTCTGAACTTTGGTTCCCATCTTTGCGGTCGTCTACACGTGATGTGATAACAGTCACCAAAAGAAACCTAATTTTCTGTATGTCGGTTATGAGGGCTGTGCCTATAAGCTCCGTTCCCTTCTGCCATGTCAGATGAGCTAAACTCTTACCCAGCAGCCGGCCAGGAGAACATACGATACCATTTGCAAGGGTAGAATGTGGCATGCTGTTCTTCTGTAATTATAATGGCCTGATCCATGTGGGGTGGGTGAGTCTTGCTTAACAATCATTAATCTACCGAGTCCTCATATCAGCGTCCCATCTTGAGGAGCAGCGGCAGTCCTTGGCTGGCTGGGGAAGGCTTTGATTCTCATTGTAATAAGGATAGCTTTGTTAAAATTCGGCTGCTCCATGGTGCCTAAGGATTCTGGGAAGACAAGGTTTTTCTTCTCTTTCCTGTTTCTGTTTCTGCGCAGTGGGAATGAATTGTTTCTCTCTCCTCCATCCCCTAGGTCACTATGTGTGCTCTCCCTCGATCTCCTGCTTGTCCCTTTATTTCTGCACGTTGTGAAAGTTTCTTTCTGTGTGACCAGGAATCTGTTTAGCAGACCATATTGTGAGTGAAGGGCCGGCGTTTGTTGCCCGATTTTGGCAACGCTGGGCAGTCAGCTGGGATGTAATTAAGACTCTGAGAACAGGCTGTCTTCTCCACGGGAAAGGCATGTTAGATGGTGCTGGGATTTGGGGCTGTCAGTTTGGCCAAGGCTGGAGACAGAGAGCGAGGGACAGAGATATTTCCTTTCATTTATAATCCCTTTATGTACAGTGTATGCACTTGGCGAAGTTTACATATAACCTAGTGGCTAGAGTTTACAAGCCAACGCAGTGGAATTAGCATATGTTACATGTATATTTTAGTAATATTTTAAAGCAAGTGCATATTTCCAAAGTGAATTATGCATGGATGACAGCAATAGGGTTGTGTTGCACTGGGTGTCAAATCCCACAACTTTTTGTCGAGACTGTGGATTTTACACTAAAAAGGCAGAAAGACTAAACGAAGTAAAACAGTTTTAATTTTTAACAGTTTGGTTCGGCCCAAGGAGCCAGGCTGTGACAGATATAACTGACATTTGAATAATTGGATTAATTTAGAGAAGGGCAAATCCGGTTTTGACGGTTGTGCTTGTGTGTATGTGTTTTTTTTTTTTCCTTTCTTTCTTATTTGCAGGAATGGAGTTGTGTGGTTTAAATATGCACTTTATGTGATGCCAAGCAGAGCTTGAGGAAATGCCACAACATTTATGAAATTGTCATTTAATTCGTTTGTTTTGATATGTATGTGTGTACACATGTGTGTTTATGTGTATTATGCATTCCTCGTATGTTGCATAAAGGAAATTCACTGCATTTACTGTATTCAGCTGTGTTGGTGACATATGGGTCTGCACATTGTATACACAAGCATATTATGTATGCACCTTGGGACTTAGCAAGTCAACATGGAGGACGAGGTACACAATCTCATAGGCCATATAGAAAAAGTGCAGACAAGGGAACTCACCATGACTTTGGCATTCCCCACCTCTCTCCCTATCAGTGCATTGAAAAACATCACAAGACAGCAGAAGAATAGCCTGACTTGGCATCTGGGGTGTCAGTAGCCGAATCCCACATGGTCAATGCCTCAGCCCTAAGTTCCTTCAGATTTATATGACTTCTTGAGCTCCCTGCATGAAGATCATCTCAGCGACATGCGACCAAGTGGGACGCCACAGGGCCCCTCCAGAAAGTCTGCTCAGCAAGTCAGAAGGACATGGGGCAGGCAGTCCCCAGCTGTGGCTCCGGGCTGGCTCTAAGAGCCTTTTCCCCAGTAGGACATTAATAGACATTAACACTCGGGCAAGAAGTGTTGATGTGTGGTTTATAATGTTAACACCCAGTTAGGCAGGTGTAACACATGCTGTAGGAATCTTGTACCAAGACGTGTGTGCAGAGTCAGATTAATGAGACCATAAAAGGAGAGACATTCCACCCGAGCCGGACACCTCTTCCTGGCTCCCTCTCACCACGCAGGCCCGGTGCTCAGCTGAGTGGAAAGGGGTCCCAGTTGGATGTTTTCTGTCTCAGCCAACGGGGGATGTTTGAAAGTTTGGTTGTGCTCTGCGGTTATGTGATCTTGACGCGCAGAGTTAGGTCTTCACGTTCGGACGCCTTTTCATCTAGCGCCATTCAGGCTGGGGGAGGGAGGAAACTTTCACAGCGCTCACAGCAAGACCACCAGGCCAACTGATTATTTTTCTCTCTCAGTTTTACCTGGCGCTTCTTCAAGTGTTCCTGAATGGTTCTGAGACACTTTCTGGTTTACTTTGTAAATGGGGCAATGAAGCCTTCTTGTCTCCTGACTGGCTCTCCTTAGAGGATTCTCAAAGCCTTTTAAAATTGTGTGTTTTTCTGGGACAGCCTTGAAAGTCCCAGGAGTGAAGTTGCCATCTGTCCTTTATATTAAAAGCATCTTCTGTATTGTATACCTGATGTGCTTGTCCCAGAGATAGATGTTGTTAATTAAAGGACAGCATTTGTCCTTTATCTGAAATAAATCTCCTCTCTTGCCTGAGAAATAGTTTCCCGAGCTTTAGGAAGTAGGGGAGGAGATTCTGCCCAGAGTGCTGGTCTTTACCAAAAGCCTTGTTCCGGTTATCTGACCCTCACCCCTCCCTAGATCAGCTACATAGACTGGAAAATTCTTTGCTCCCCCCACCCCATCTATGAATTTGTCTACCAAGAGTATGACCTTTTGTCAGTGCATATTTAACTGAATAGAACATATACTGTTAATGGCAATTTATGATTTAAAAAAAAAAAAAACACAAAGATTCACAAACAGCAAGCCCCAGGCCTTCTCAGCACACTGCATTTTTATGCAGGAGAGGTGGCAGCGCTTTTTTCGTCCTGTGCTACCTCTCCACTTTGCTGCTGCACAATCTCTCTTCCTATTCCCTCCGCCCCTGGGAAAAGAAATAAGCAAGCAACTGCCCACAGCAAACAGAACCGGAGTTCTGCCAGACCACAGCTAGCATATGTTCTAGGAAGAAAGAGTCTCCCTGAACCTGCCCCATCTCTGTCTTGGGAAACTCAGAAAATTATCTGGATCTGTGATATGGAGAAGCAGCTAGGATCATGTGGCTATGAACCTACCATCTAGAAGTGTGTTTGCCTCTGTAGTGTGTTGGATTAAGTGCGGAGAAGGGAGCTAGCCAGGTCCTTGCCAGGAACCGGCTTCAAGGAAAGAGCAAGAAGATTGCACTAACCCGGACTGCGGACTGAGGAACAAGTCCAGGAGGGAGGAGATGGCATGTGTCCCACTGTCTTGCGTTAGTAGGAAAGACCCCAGAATTGACTATAGCGTGGACAGGAGAGTGGTGGATTGATTGGACCATAATTTTCTGATGCCCTAACAGTCTAAACTGAAGTTCAAGTTTAATAAGCAAAGATTTGCATTTAAAAGAGAATTCTAATTAGGTACCATTCTTTATTGTCTTTTTCATTGTTGTTAACCATACAGACTAAGAATTTAGGCAGGTGGCATAAAGAGGGACACAGGCCTTGAAAGGATACCAGAAGTGGTGACACTGAGAGCTTACACTGTTGGCAAGGGACAGTGGCTTCCTCACTCCCAGCTATTGTTAGCTTGTGGGCCTGTGGGCCCAAGACTGCAGATCCTCAGGTGCTTCAGCGGGAGCTGTGGCTATGAAACCTCGTAAGCTTTCAGTGCTGGCAGAGAATCCACTGTTTTAAAACAGCACAGGCCCAGATGGAGCTCTTCTGTTGTGGACGGTTAGTTTATAAGCACTCATGTTTGTTCACAGCAACCTGGCCCAAGTGGGGATGATCTAAATAGTCAACTGACGATGGGTAAACTTTTGAGAAGAAAATAGGAGACCCAGCTCCATACAAGTGTTAATGTTTTTCCATGTGTCTCTGTTTACTGCATGTGCCTCTCGTGTGCGTGTTTTGCAATAGTTGTAATCACAGACGCCTGCTTTTTCACTTGCTGTTACAGATCCGTTCCTTCTATAACTTAGGATGGCTGCAGGATATTCTGTCAAGGGACTTGATCACAATAGGCAAATTCATTTCATTGTTCTTGGGCGTTAAAGCTGCTTTTGATGTGACACCGTCATACCTAATGCTGTAGTTACATTTGTCCTCCGTTTGGATTACTCCCTTAGATTCTGAAAGGAGGATTACCGAGTTAGACCATGTGAATGTGTTGATGGCTTTCAGTACACATTGCCGAACTGCTTTCCAAACGTGTTGTCTAGTTGACCCTGGACTCAGTAAAGTATGAGTATACGGATTTCCAATGTAGCCTCGCCAGCCTTATTATATATTTTAGAGATTCCACAGCCCCCCAGCCTCAGTTGGTAAATGAAAACTGGACTTCATTGGTGTTTGCATTTGCAGTTTTCTGAGATTTTCCCATAAATCTGTTGACCACTTATATTTACTTCAATCACATCTGTATTTTCTAGAGCTGAATTTTGTGGAGCTTTTACTGGTGGTGGGGATTGGGGGCACGGTGGGGGGGGATGTATGTATGTTTCAGTTTTCTCTGTTAACCACTGGTTAGTAATTTGGGAAGAGACTCCTTGGCAAGGCTTTCCTCCCGGAACACCTCCTATCTCAGCATTGCTGCAGCTGCTACTTTCAACTGTGCATTAACTTGGAGTTGGGCCAGGGCCCAGGCAGAAGCCCCTTCCTGAAGACGGCCTCTTAGGTGTCTGGTGAACCACAAGCACAGGGCTGTGTCTGCCAACATACTTTCGGCAGAGCCATCTAATAAAATCCCATCCACATGGGTCTATGAAATGCAGTCACAAATTCGGATGATGATCACCGGATGCCATTTCTTTGGTAACAGCTAATCTCCATGTCTTAGATGGTTTTTGTCCACTGCCTCCTCAGTCTTTCCTTCACTGCTCTATTTGGTGCATATTCTCGCTACAAATGATACATAATCTGACTGTCTTGTACCGTGGAAGGGCATTGAGCCAGTGATATGGAAAATGGTTCTAGTCCTGGTCAGGGTGCCAGATTCTGTCCCAGCTGCTCCTCTTTCGGTCTGGCTCTCTGCTGTGGCCCAGGAAGGCAGTGGAGGATGGCCCAAATGCTTGGGCCCTGCACCGGCATGGGAGACCAAGAGGAAGCATCTGGCTCCTGGCTTTGGATCAGCGCAGCGCACCGGCTGTAGTAGCCATTTGGGGAGTGAACCAATGGAAGGAAGACCTTTCTCTCTGTCTCTCTCTCTCACTGTCTAACTCTGTCTGTCAAAAAAAAAAAGAGAAAAAGGAAAAAAAGAAAAATGAAGTCTATGTGATTCCCAGAGGCCATGCACACGACTGCACTCTTCCGGGACACCTGTCCCCCCCAGCTGGTATGCTTAGGAAGGAACTGAAAACTGCAGGAAGGGGGCATTGCAGTCTGCTGTGTGTGGAGAGCACAGGGGAAGTTCTCATACTGTGGAAGTTGAGGTCCACATGTCTGCTGGCCTCTTTAAAGCCGTATGTAGCTGCCTGCTCTGGTCTCAGGACCAAATAGTGGGGCAAGAAAATGTACCTTATTTCTGTTTTTCTCATCCCTAACCCTCAAGTGGCAACTTCATGAACTAAAGTGGTTTATGGAGAAACCAAGGCACTAAGTCAGCTGCACACAGAAATGCTTTCAGGCTTAATTTCATACATATCATTTTTTAATAAAAAAAAATAAGAGTTCAAGATCCCATATGGCACTTAGCCTCCTAAACAAAGATCATCAGGCATAGATGAGAAGCAGGTGGCCTGGCACGGAGAGCAGAGGTTATTTTTGCGGCTGGGCTCCCGGCCATGGCAGAGTTTAACAGTGGCAAGACTGCTCAGCAGGAGGCTGACCCGGGATGCCCTCTCTTTGGTGGGGATGGAGCAGTCCCACCTTCACTGCTGGGAGTGAAGTTGATCAAATCTAGGTCACAGTTGCACTCCCAGAAGAGTCCCTTTCTGAACGTCTTCCCCTTCACTCCTTAATTGCTTCTTCCAGAGCTGATTCATGTAGAGTGAAGTCACAGTCTTAATTGTTCGCCCATTCTGATTGTGTCTGTACAGGCTGCACTGTTGGTATCTCAGCCATTTATTCTGGTTCAACCCTGGAGCAACAGGTTGAAGTGACTTGGTTTTGAAGATCATATTATAGACCAGAAATTTGGTTACCTGTACACCATTTCTGGCTCTGCCTTTCCCTAGGGCTTAGTTTCCACGCTGGTAACACTACGGGAGCTGGATTGGTCAGGGATTTCAAATTCAAATGATTGGGGGGCAAGTAACAGAGATGAATGGGAAGGAAAAGTGATGGCTAAATAGCCAGTGGCCTCTTTGCAGAATGTGTACCCAGTGTTGCTGCATTTTCAAGGAAATCCAGAAATCCAGATGTTTTTATGAAATTGCAGGGTATGTAGTGTTCTGGGCCCTGCTTGGTCAAGTGGAACACCAGTGTGTGACCTCTGAACCAAAGGCTTTTTTTTTTTTTTTTTTTAAGATTTATTTATTGGGGCCGGTGCTGTGGCATAGCGGGTGAAGTCTCCACCTGCAGTGTGGGCATTACATATGGGCGCTGGTTTGAGTCCCGGCAGCTCCACTTCTGATCCAGCTCTCTGGTATGGCCTGGGAGGGCAGTAGAAGATGGCCCAAGTCCTTGGGCCCCTGTACCCACGTGGGAGACCCGGAAGAAGCTCCTGGCTCCTGGCTTTGGATCAGTGCAGCTCTGGCTGTTGCAGCCAACAGAGGAGTGAACCAGGAGATGGAAGACCTCTTTCTCTCTCTGCCTCTCCTTCTCTGTGTAACTCTGACTTTCAAATAAATAAATAAATCTTTAAAAAAATAAATTCATGGCCAGTGCCACGGCTCAATAGGCTAATCCTCTGCCTGCGGCGCCAGCACACCGGGTTCTAGTCCCGGTCGGGGCGCCGGATTCTGTCCCGGTTGATCCTCTTCCAGGCCAGCTCTCTGCTGTGGCCCGGGAAGGCAGTGGAGGATGGCCCAGGTCCTTGGGCCCTGCACCCCATGGGAGGCCAGGATAAGTACCTGGCTCCTGCCATCAGATCAGCACGGTGCGCCGGCCATTGGAGGGTGAACCAACGGTAAAGGAAGACCTTTCTCTCTGTCTCTCTCTCTCACTGTCCACTCTGCCTGTCAAAAATAAATAAATAAATAAATTCGTAAAGAAAAAGAAAATTTATTTTAAAAAATATTTATTTACTTGAAAGGCAGAGTTATAGAGAGAAGCAGAGAGAGGAAAAAAGAGAGAGAGAGAGAAAAGTCTTCCATCTGCTGGTTCACTCCCCAGATGGCCACAACAGCTTCTTAATCTGACCCTAAGGATCCTTTCAGCTGCAACACTGAATGATTCTGGCTTACTGTTCCAGACCTTGGACAAAAAACAAACAAACAAACAAACAAACCACAAAACCATTGAACTTACCTACACCTCAGTTTCTCTCACCTGTAAAATATTCTTAATGCATGACTAATTTTACAGAGGTCCAGTGAAGTGCTTAGGCGAGACCTTGTATAAAACTACTTTGAAACATAAATGAGTTACATAGAGATGCAAGTTGCTGTTACCTTTATTATTTTGAAAGTTTTATTGATTTATTTATTTTGAGGCCAAGGTGACAGAGAAAGAGGGGGACACACACACACACACACACAGAGAGAGAGAGAAAGAGAGAGAGATTGATGTTCGATCCCCTGGGGTACTCCCTAAGTGCCCTCCATAGCTGGGGCCAGGCTGAAGCCAGGAGCCAGGAACTATCCCGATCTCCTACCTGGGAGGCAGGCATGCACTTGGATCAGTATCTGCTCCTCCTGGGTTCATTAACAGGAAGCTGGATTGGAAGCAGAGGCAGGACTGGATCCCAATCACTGCCATGGAGTGCTGGCATCCCAAATAACAGCTTGACCAACTACACTACAACGCCTGCTCCCTTCGTTAGTATAGACAATTGTTTATAATACTTACTACTGCTCAGAATTCAAGCACTAAGCTTTTTAAAGATATTTAATAAAAACATCAAGAATTCACCGTGAATAAATTCCATGCTTGCAAACGACCTTGCAGACGTTTCATTATCCTTAGAGGGAAATGTGTCTGTGGCGTGTGACAGAAAGAGAAGGCGTTTCATCTGTGCAGCTGCTTGTATAAATTGCGCCAACTCTGGGAGCCGAAGTGCAAGACGCAGCAATAGCATATAAGGAAATGAAGTTGATGCGATATTAAAGATTCCTTGTCACAGGCACTCACTGCCTGGGAATGGGAATGCTCCAGCCTTGTCACTGACATTTTGTGAACAAGCAGCCTGTATTGGGTGGTGATAAATGGATTATCTTAAATGTCATTCTGCACTGTTTTAGAGTTGCAAGGAGAGTTTTGATATTGAGTTGTTGGTTAGGATATTCTATACCAATCCTTTATGATGAAATAATCTCCTCAAGTTACATCCAGAAATGTCAGAGTTGCTTATTTCTTCAGTCACCCGTAGCAATGTTTCCATTACAAGATATGCAGAGAAGATTGTGTAATAATGTCAGACTATTTATAGAAACGTTTCCTAGGAATCTCGACTCTCCTTGGGTTGTTTGTGTATTTAATGCTAGAGATTTGTTTTTATATTTCTATATGTTTTTTTTTTTTTTTTTTTTTTTTTTTTTTTTGACAGGCAGAGTGGACAGTGAGAGAGAGAGACAGAGAGAGAAAGGTCTTCCTTTGCCGTTGGTTCACCCTCCAATGGCCGCCGCTGCAGCCGGCGCACCGCGCTGATCCTGGCAGGAGCCAGGAGCCAGGTGCTTTTTCCTGGTCTCCCATGGGGTGCAGGGCCCAAGCACCTGGGCCATCCTCCACTGCACTCCCTGGCCATAGCAGAGAGCTGGCCTGGAAGAGGGGCAACCGGGACAGAATCCGGCGCCCCAACCGGGACTAGAACCCGGTGTGCCGGCGCCGCAAGGTGGAGGATTAGCCTATTGAGCCACGGCGCCGGCTCTATATTTCTATATGTTTTTCTACGTCTAAATTGACTGCAGCTGAGGATGTTGTACTTGATAGAGAGCGCATTTAAAAACTGACATTAGCATACGAAAGCCAAAAGTAAGGCCAATCTAATGGTTCTAAATAGAAAGATTTGCTTAATTTGGTTTCAAATATTGTAATTTTTTGTTTAGTATTGCAACTTTGCCTTAAACATTAAGAGTGTTATATTTACAAACCTGTTATTTATGTAGAATACAGTTGTATATAATGCCTCGTTAAAAGAAGCTTTATTACTTATTGTATGCATTATCTCATATTTACTTTTTTTGAAATTCAACATTTAATTAAATCATTACTATAGCACAAAATTTACTCATTGATATGAAGATTTAGTCCAGTGGATTTGTATGAAAATATGAAAAGTAGATTTTAAAAGAATATTTCAAGTTTTTTTTGGCAAAGTTTTCCTAAATACTGGCTTTCTTTGTTAAAGATCAGATCTTTCTAGACACAGAGACTGCAAATATTCAATTTGTCAATACACAGGGACTCCCTCCAGCCTCTCTACACTCTACTAATCTTATTCTCATCTACTTCACCCTACAGCCCTTAACAAAAGGCATGTAATCTGTATTTTTAAAAATGAAAACAATATAACATTCAATTGAACCATGTAAAGTTATTATTTTTGCAGATCAAAACAGTCACATATCACCAGCTTTATATGGTTCCCCTTAACAGCCAATGCTAACATTGTGTTTACCTTATGCAAGACATGTGTTTGATGTGTGTGAGTTACTTGACCAATCCCATCAACCCTGTGTCCACCTGCTGTCCTTGCCCCCAGCTTACAGATGACAAAGCTGAGGCGTAGACTGAGGAGGAGCTGTCAGACCAGGCAGCCTGTCTGCAGCACCTCAGCTCCTCATCAGCCCTCTGCTGCCTTTCCAGTGCCGCAGTCTCCTGGCTCTCCCCCGTCCCTCAACGTATCCTCTCTCCTGCAGGAAGGAATGTGATCAGCCCGTGTGAATTCTTCTAGATCTTCCTCTTGTGTGTCACCCACATTGATATGTTACCAATAGGAATATACTATACATTCTTTTTTTTTTTTTTTGACAGGCAGATTTAGACAGTGAGAGAGAGAGACAGAGAGAAAGGTCTTCCTTCCGCTGGTTCACCCCCCAAATCGGCGCGCTGTGCCCATCTGAAGCCGGGAGCCAAGTGCTTCCTCCCTGTCTCCCATGCAGGTGCAGGGCCCAAGGACCTGGGCCATCATCCACTGCCTTCCCGGGCCACAGCAGAGAGCTGG